CAAGCACAGGCTTAATGGCTTGGACATGAAGCAGAAGTGTGCCACTTTCCATAACATCTCTCGACCCCAGGAGCCCAGTCATGAGACCAAGTTTGACCTACTGATCGGTGCCGATGGTGCTCACTCTACAACCCGCTTCTTTCTGTCCCGCTATGCGAAGATTAATATCAATCAGAAGTGGGAGGATATCTTCTGGTGTGAGCTAACCATCCCTGCGGGTCATGCCCTTCCGATGGACTGTCTGCACATGTGGCCCCAACGAGACTTTATGCTGTTTGCCTGTCCGGACAAGGTATGCATGCTCCACAAATTATTTCATTAAAAAACGGTATACTAACCCCCACAAGGAAGGAACACTGACTTGCAATTTGTTCGCCCCGGAAAACGTCTTCCTAGAACTGAAATCCTCTGGAAGGATCGTAGAGTTCTTTGAGAAGAACTTCCCCGGTATCACACCAGACCTCATCCCCACCGACAATCTCCAGAAGCAATTCAAGTCAAATCTTCATCACCCCATGATCGATATCCGATGCTCACCGTATCACTACCAGGATTCATGTGTCCTGATTGGCGATGCTGCACACGCCATGGTCCCCTTCTACGGCCAAGGCATGAACACCGGCTTCGAAGATGTCCGAATCCTATTCGAGGATTTTCTCGACCAACGAAGGAGTTTCCCCTCCTGGAAGGACAATCTCTCCTTGAGTTATGCGATGCAACAAAAAAAACTACCCGACACCCCCCAGGCGATTGTGGAAGACTACCTCGAGCAGTACACCAAGTATCGCCAGCCGGACGTCCACATTATAAATGAACTGGCTTTGCAAAACTACAGGGAGCTAAGACAAGGCGTGTTCAAGATGTCTTACCATATCCGCAAGCATATTGAAGAGTTTCTGAGTCTCCATGCCCCACAGCTTGGGTGGGCGACGCAGTACCGGCTGGTGGCGTTTGAGACGATGCGATATACCGATGTTTTGCGACAGGTCCGAAAGCAGGGTCTGATCTTGAGTGCGGTGGCGTGGAGCTGCCTGGTGCTCTTTTTACTTTTGTGTCTTTTGTCGCTTCGTCTGTAAAAAGTGGAGTGTTGGTAATCTTGGGGTTTTTGGACATAGTCTGTGGAATAGGTGGGTAAAAGCTTGGACATAGTGTGATTAATTAAATGCTAGTTCTTAATTATTGTTTAATTGGAGTTTACACTAGATCGATGCGAACCCTAATGCAACCTCTTTCTTTTCTTGTAGATTATGAGGTATTTTAGCAGGTTTGACGCTAACTTTTCACAGTCCGACTATATATAATTCTTCAATAGATACTAGTAAGCATAATAACATCCCATTGAGAAGGGTATTCTGTCGATTCGAGTTGGACATATTGTACACACGGTAAAACTAGGTTCGGTTTGAACTATATAATTAAAACCTAAGTTTGGGACGGTTTCCTGAGACTGACCAACCGATGATGCGGGGGTCGACTTGATATAAGGCCTATCGATTCTACCTGTATACAACACTATTAAAACCACGGTGCAATAAACTCGAGGAAAAGGATTGTCCCCATGCATAATAGGCGTTCCACCACCTGCATATCCATACATGCAGCCCGAGTTATGCGATGTGATCGGGCCTGGAATAACATGATTTCCGATCTAACGGGGGCCCAAAAGGGGCAGCCAAGATCTGCTAGACCCAACCAGGCTAGCGGCGGGCCATCTGAGGCGGTGATCCATTTTGGGCGAGGAAAAGGCAAAAAGTGGATTGGCGAAAGGCAAGTTGGAGTGTCGGGAGTTTGGTCTCCCGCCCCAGGGCCGCGTATTAGTCTAGCTCTCTCTCTATTCACTCGGGCCAACTCGTCAACTCTCTCCCTCGTTTTCATTCAGATTTCATTATTTCTCTTACGGTCTTGCCATTCTTGCCACTTTCGGTCCTTATTATTGCTTTTGATCCCCAGTTCCCTTTTCCCAACTGGGTGGCGCTCCTACAGACCGACACATACCTGGCGGACTTTCCTTGCTTCTGGCTGTACACCGGGACCCGCCTCATACCCAGTACGTGTTGTCCATGGCAAGCCTCCTACTTGGCCTGATCACATCGTCCTGAGAGAGAGAGTTCACCAAAACTCTCCCCCAAACGATGCGTCTTACAGGTGGTGTCGCTGCGGCTCTGGGCCTCTGCGCTGCTGCCTCCGCTTCTCTCCATCCCCATCGTTCCTACGAGACCCATGATTACTTCGCTCTACACCTTGATGAATCCACCTCGCCGGCCGACGTCGCCCAACGACTAGGTGCTCGCCACGAAGGTCCCGTCGGAGAATTACCCTCACATCATACCTTCTCGATACCCCGTGAAAACAGTGACGATGTCCATGCGCTGCTTGATCAATTGCGCGATCGTCGGAGGTTACGCCGCCGCTCCGGAGATGATGCCGCTGTCCTTCCCTCCTTGGTCGGGCGAGACGAAGGTCTAGGTGGCATTCTTTGGTCCGAGAAGCTGGCTCCCCAGAGAAAGCTCCATAAAAGAGTGCCGCCGACAGGATATGCTGCCAGATCGCCCGTCAACACTCAGAATGACCCCCAAGCGCTTGCGGCGCAGAAACGCATTGCCTCGGAATTGGGCATCGCGGACCCCATCTTCGGCGAACAATGGCATTTGTATAATACTGTTCAGTTGGGCCATGATCTTAACGTGACGGGTATCTGGCTGGAGGGCGTTACAGGGCAGGGTGTCACGACGGCTATTGTCGATGATGGTTTGGACATGTACAGCAACGATCTTAGGCCGAACTATTTTGCGGCGGGTTCTTATGACTATAACGACAAAGTACCAGAGCCGAGGCCGCGCTTGAGCGATGACCGCCACGGTACTAGATGCGCGGGTGAAATCGGTGCGGCGAAGAACGACGTGTGCGGGGTTGGTGTTGCGTATGATAGTCGCATCGCTGGTATTCGGATTCTCTCCGCACCCATTGATGACACTGATGAGGCTGCGGCTATTAACTACGCCTATCAGGAGAACGATATCTACTCGTGTTCCTGGGGTCCCTATGATGATGGCGCCACAATGGAAGCCCCGGGCACCCTGATCAAGCGGGCCATGGTCAATGGTATCCAAAATGGTCGGGGTGGAAAAGGCTCCGTTTTTGTGTTTGCGGCTGGTAACGGTGCCATTCATGATGATAACTGTAATTTTGACGGTTATACCAACAGTATCTACAGCATCACGGTGGGTGCCATTGATCGGGAGGGTAACCATCCTCCGTACTCGGAATCGTGCTCGGCGCAACTGGTAGTGGCCTACAGCAGCGGCGCCAGTGATGCAATTCATACCACGGACGTCGGCACAGACAAGTGCTCGACTACCCATGGTGGAACTTCGGCGGCCGGCCCGCTCGCTGCGGGAACCGTGGCGCTGGCCCTCAGTGTGCGGCCGGAACTCACCTGGCGTGATGTCCAGTATTTGATGATTGAGGCAGCAGTGCCTGTTCATGAAGATGACGGGAGCTGGCAGGACACTAAGAACGGAAAGAAATTCAGCCATGACTGGGGATACGGTAAGGTCGACACATATACGCTGGTGAAACGGGCAGAGACCTGGGATCTGGTGAAGCCTCAAGCCTGGCTCCATTCCCCCTGGCAGCGGGTTGAGCATGAGATTCCACAGGGCGAGCAGGGCTTGGCTAGTTCGTATGAGGTGACGGAGGATATGTTGAAGGGAGCCAACCTGGAACGGCTGGAGCATGTCACGGTCACCATGAATGTTAACCACACCCGCCGAGGCGATCTCAGCGTGGAGTTACGGAGCCCTGACGGTCGGGTCAGTCACCTCAGTACGCCCCGGCGGCCAGATAATCAAGAGGTGGGCTATGTCGACTGGACCTTCATGAGCGTTGCTCACTGGTAAGTAAACTTTTTCTCGGTTGTCGGTTCTTCTGCTAATACATATCTAGGGGCGAGTCCGGGATTGGCAAATGGACTGTGATTGTCAAGGACACCAATGTCAACGAGCATACTGGGCAATTCATCGATTGGCGACTCAACTTGTGGGGCGAGGCGATTGACGGAGCCGAGCAGCCTCTCCACCCCATGCCTACTGAACACGATGATGATCACAGCTATGAGGAAGGAAACGTGGCTACCACGAGCATCAGCGCCGTTCCCACGAAAACCGAGCTGCCTGACAAGCCCACTGGTGGCGTTGATCGCCCGGTGAACGTTAAGCCTACAACATCCGCGATGCCGACCGGTAGTCTTACAGAGCCCATCGATGATGAAGAACTCCAGAAGACCCCTAGTACAGAGGCAAGCTCAACACCAAGTCCTTCTCCGACCACCGCGTCAGATAGTTTCCTGCCTTCCTTCTTCCCCACGTTCGGTGCGTCGAAGCGGACGCAAGTTTGGATCTACGCTGCGATCGGCTCCATCATTGTGTTCTGCATTGGCCTGGGCGTCTACTTCCATGTGCAGCGCCGCAAACGTATTCGCAACGACAGCCGGGATGACTACGATTTCGAGATGATCGAGGACGAGGATGAGCTGCAGGCAATGAACGGACGGTCGAACCGTTCACATCGCCGGGGTGGCGAGCTGTACAATGCTTTTGCGGGCGAGAGCGATGAGGAACCGTTATTCAGTGATGAGGATGATGAACCGTATCGGGATCGGGGGATCAGCGGCGAACAAGAACGGGAGGGCGCAGATGGAGAGCATTCTCGGTGAAGTGCAGTAGATGAGGGTTGATCTTATTTCGGACAGTGTTTCTAACTTGTTGGATGACCTGCGTTGAACAATATTCCTGCTGTGTATGCTGCATAGAGAAAGCGTGTATATACCATGTATGTGTGCATCATCTTGATCGGGTTTATCATTCTTCATCTGCCATGGTTTGTGATCTCCGGAATAGTACCAAAGGAACACTAACTTAAGGGTCTTGGCGATGACGCTTCCCGTCGCTGCTTTTGACTTCCTCCGCATCTCGTCTCTCCTGCTGTTGACCGCCCGCCAACCAACCTCCATCTCCTCACTCCTCCCACCCTAATCTTGCTGTCCTGCTTCTAGAACCCCCCAGTTTAATTTAAAAACCGGCTTTTCCTAGCTCCACGTATTGTACCTCGCACTGATCCCCATCTCCACCCACTCCAACGCTACCGACCCAGCCTTCTCTGCCGGCTCCAGGCGGCAGGCAATCAAACCAACCCCTCGATGGATCAGCACGACGACTTCGACAGCGTCTCGTGGAGGCATGACCCGGACAGCGATCTCTCGCGACCCACGACCTCCGGAACAGACACAGAGGAACAGGCGCCATACACTCACGATGTCAATGGCAAACGGAGGATGAGCAACGCTCAAGAAAGCCCTCAGGCTGGACCACTGGCGGATGCCGTCGACCTGGCGGGCATCGGCGACGGCGTACTAGAGTGTCGGGTAGATTCACCGTTGAAGGAGAATGATGGAACGAAAGACGCTTATATCTCCTATTTGGTTACTACTACGGTGGGTTATCTTTACCTTCAGTGATCTCAGATGGAGAAGACCGTGCGGTTGCAGTGCATGCTGACTAGAATGATAGACCGATTTCAAGTCCTTCCAGAAACCCGAGTTCACCGTGCGACGCAGATTCACCGACTTCTACTTCCTATACAAGACACTTTATCGCGAATACCCTGCCTGCGCCGTCCCGCCGCTGCCGGATAAGCATAAGATGGAGTATGTCCGCGGCGATCGGTTCGGACCTGAATTCACTACCCGACGAGCATGGTCTCTACATCGCTTCTTGAAACGACTTACGCTGCATCCCGTGCTTCGTCGCGCACCGTTGCTGGCCATCTTCCTGGAATCGCCCGACTGGAATGCACACATGCGGTTGCGGTCCACGCGCAACTCGACTAGCACCTCGGACGGCAGCGGGGTCCCTGGGATCTTTGACAACTTTACCGACACCTTTGTCAACGCTTTCACCAAGGTGCATAAGCCGGATAAGCGGTTTATTGAAGTGCGGGAGAAGGCGGATAAACTGGACGAGGACCTCAATCATGTGGAGAAGATTGTAGCCCGAGTGGCTCGGCGGGAATCGGATCTCGAGGCAGACTATAATGACCTGGCTACGCAGTTCCGCAAACTAGTACCCCTGGAACCGGAGGTGGAGGTGCCCCTACAAGTCTTTGCGGCCTCGGTAGAGGAGACGGGGCGCGGGCTCAAGACGCTCAAGGATCACACTGACCAGAATTATCTGGGGTCGCTGCGGGATATGGAGGCGTACATTGTCTCGCTCAAAGCCCTCCTCAAAACGCGCGAGCAGAAACAGCTCGACTTCGAAGCGCTGGTTGACTATCGAAACAAGGCGGTGGCGGAGCGGGACTCCCTCGCCTCTAACCCCTCGTCCTACTATGCCTCCAACCCGCTGACCTCGTCCCCGGCCTCGTTCATCAGGTCCAAGATGGAAGACATGCGGGGCGTCGACCACGAGCAATCGCGACGCGAGAGGGTGCGGAAGTTGGAGCTCCGCATTGACGAGCTCACGCGCGAGGTCGAGTCGGCTAAGACGACGTCGGAGATGTTCGACGAGGAAGTCGTACGCGAGGTGGCAGACTTTGAGCGCATCAAGGCCGTAGAGTTCCGGGATACGCTGGGAGCGTTGGCCGAGAAGCAGATCGAGTTCTACCAGGGGGTACTGAATACCTGGGAACGATTTGTGGCTGAGATGGAGGGAGATCTGGAAGAAGAGCATGACCCAGGCACGGAGGCCAGGTGATACTTTAACTACTACCACCATTACTACACTTAGGTACTACTGATTATGACACTGTGATATCGCACTAGCCATGTTTTCGCTTAATGAGGGTTTCGTTTCTCTTATTATCATTGTGGAAGGAGATTGTTGCTTCTGAATGAATAATCATCACGACGTTGCATTTTCTATCTTTCTTTCTTTCTTCCCTCCTTTTACTCGTCCGGTAGAAATCCATAATCATCCTCATCCTCAGATTACCATAATACCCAATTAGTTCCCCACCAACCTCTCCCTAACCCTCTGACTTTCCGCCCACTCCAAATCAAGGGGACTCGGATCCCTCTGCGCATTAGGATCCACGACTGCCGGGTCCAGCGCACGAGTCGTATGTCTCCGTACGATATTCTATATCACCCCACACCAGACAGGCACTTGGATATCAGACAACTAAACTTCGCGCAAATGCACAACATAGCAACACATAATAGAATCATGAAATTTAATTCGGAAAGAGAGAGTAAGGGGTAACCAACCTCTCTATACACCTGATTTGGCGTCTTGCTTCTGTTCTTGTCCTTGCGGGTGTCATCACCATCATCACCGGACATCAAATGGAGGTAGACTTCATGATCATAGTCGATTCTTTGCGATGATGGGTTGGCGAAGTTGGCGGATAGATGGGGTCTTTCTTCTTGGGGTTGGGATTGAGGTTGGGTTTTGGGTTTGGGCTTTTTGGTTGTAGTGGTGTTGGATGAGGACATTGTGTCTTGTTTCTGTGTATAGTAGGTAGGGTTGTATGTATAAGGCAAGTAACTGAGTGAGGAAAGTGTGATATTAAAGTTGGAAAGAAAATTCAATTGGGTTGTAGGGCTGTGTCTGGTACTAATATACTTTAAAGTTCTTCAGGGTTTACTAGTTATCTTCTGCTTGAGGGGGTTTATTTGCCTTCTGCAGTGGAATGGAATGGGTGCATTGTGGCGGAGTGAGTGCATGGTGGCAGTGGCAGTGAGAGTAAGTGCGAGTGAGATTGGGAGTCAGGGGGGGATGGAATGGATGGCATGTTGCATTTTGTGGGATTTGATGGTATGCTTAGATGTGTATTTCTTGAATGATTCTTATGCAGGAGAAAAGTTAGTATTTGGGGGCGAGAATGGGGAGTTTCTTCGTGTAGAATGATGACTTGTGATGGTGGTTGATGGATGTGGATTGATGTTTGCTTTGTTTGCTTGAGTATCTGGTGATGGCTTCACTTTCCCTTCCACTTCCGGCTTCTCGCTCTCTCTTCCCCGCTGTTCACTGCCCCATATCCATCATGCGTCCTCTCTCTCGGACGGCTCTCCGTCCCTACGTCTGCCCATCTTGTCAATTGGGTCGTCTTCCTGCCCGCAGGAGATATGCTTCCCACTCGCCCACCAACGCTGCGGCCCCCGAGATCTACGATGTCGTCTGCGTCGGCGGTGGTCCTGCCGGTCTAGGCCTGCTGGCTGCTCTCCGTATGCTGCTCCAATGCGCTGTATAGATCCAATTGGCGTCTCTGACTGACTTCTCTAGGGGCTTCTCCCACCACCTCCAAGCTGAAAGTCGCCCTGGTCGAAACTCAGGACCTGAACAAAGCCCGCTCGTGGTCCCTCGATGCGCAGAACTACTCCAACCGCGTCAGCAGCCTGACTCCCTCCTCCGTCTCGTTCCTGAAGAAGATCGGCGCCTGGGATCACCTTGACACATCCCGCGCTCAGCCCTACCAGGAGATGCAAGTCTGGGATGGCGAAACCGGCTCGCGCATCTCCTTCGACTGGTCCATGGAAACCTCTCCGTTCGAAGACCTCCGCGCCGTCGCGACAATGACCGAGAACGCCAACCTCGTTCGTGCCCTCCTCTCCCGCATCGCCACTTCCGGAGACGACAACCTCTCCCTCTTCTCCAACAGCACCGTCTCCTCCATCACCAATGGCACCGATATCCCCGACGGCCCCGACCTCTCCGCCTGGCCCGTCCTCTCCATCACACCCACCAACACCACCACTTCCCAACCGCCCACCCGCATTGCCGCGCGCCTCCTCGTCGGCGCAGACGGAATCAACAGCCCAGTCCGACGCTTCGCCGACATCGCCACAGACGGATGGGATTACAACCGCCACGGCATCGTCGCAAGCCTCTCCCTCGCCGACCTGGACCCCGCTCCCTTCCCTCTCGGAATGAGAACCGCATACCAGCGCTTCCTTCCCTCCCTAGGCGGACCCATCGCCCTGCTCCCCCTCCCCAACAACAACGCAACCCTCGTCTGGTCCACGACAGTCGAAAACGCCGCCTACCTCAAGTCCCTCTCCCCGAAGGCCTTCATCTCCATGGTCAACGCCGCCTTCCGCCTCTCCATGACCGACCTCCAATACATGCTGCGCATGGAACGCCCCTCTACTACAACCGAAAACCCCCACGAAGACGAACTCAACTGGCGCCTCCAACACACCCCGCAACCCTCCCACCTCCCACCCATGGTCACAGGCGTCCAGGAAGGCAGCGTAGCATCCTTCCCCCTCCGCTTCCGCCACGCCTCCACCTACGTCTCTCCCCGCGTGGCTCTCGTCGGCGACGCAGCGCACGTCATCCACCCGCTCGCCGGCCAGGGCTTGAACCTGGGTCTGGGCGACGTGGCGTCTCTCGCGCAGACGATCGAGTACGCCGTGCACCACGGTATGGATGTGGGCGATTTGCTCACTCTCGAGCGGTATGCGTGGGATCGGTACGCCACGAATGCGAAGATCGGCGGTGCTTGTGATGTTCTGCACAAGTTGTATAATGTCCCTGGTAATGGACCTGTGGCGTGGGCGCGCAGTCTGGGATTGGATGTGATTGATCGGGTGCCGTTTGTTAAGGGGTTGTTGATGAAGGGTGCTGAGGGGCGGTAGGTTGATTGATTTTGTATTTATTATTATTAGTTAGGGATGGGTATGTATATTACTTTACTTTAGCAGTACTTTAGTCGTTTGTCCAGATGTATGATTAACATGGGTTTACTCTCACTCTCATGCTGTATCTACTATATCAAATCAAACAGTAGTAGAATGACGGACTAGGGATAGATCTACAATATTTGAAACTACAACTTTTAGGTGGTGTAGTAGTAAAGAATAATGTCGCTCCAATTTGACTGCTATCTATCTATACTATACCAGGAGAACCATTGAAAGCGAAAGATATAGAAAATGACCCCCGGGGTATTGTATTTTAGAACATCTTCGTTAATTTTTGCTTTCTTTCTTTCTTTCCTTCCCTTATACTTTTTTAAAGTTGAACGCTCTTAGCACAAACAAGTTAAACCCATCTAAGCCCTGTATATGGTTTCCCGCTCTATGCATCAACCTTCATCTCACCCAACTGCTGCGCAACACCATCGACACTCTCTCCTCGCTTCTTAGCCACCCGGGCCTTGACCTCCGCCGGCAGAGCAGTCAGATCAACCAGCACACCTTCCTTCTCGGGGTGTCCGTCCTCGAGACCCATTTCCTTGACGCGAACCTTGCCGGCCGCGAGCTCGTCCTCGCCCAGAATGACGGCGAAGGGGACGCCGGCTTGTTCGGCGGCCTTGAATTGTTGGGGGAGCTTGGGCTTGACCTTGTAGGAGAATTCGGCCTATGGATTATTAGTGTATAGCAAGAGGGGAGAAAAGATGGTAGGTGGGGGTGGGGGAGCTTACCTTGACGCCAGAGTTCCAGAGAGTCTGGCACACGCTCATCCGCTCCTTCAACATACCCGTGAAGCCCTTACCTCCAAAGGCCATCACGTAGGCATCGACCTCGCTGCTGCGGAGGGCTTCGGCGCTCTTCTCCCGCTCGAGACGGGCCTTGGTGATGGAGAAGATACGGTCCACACCGAAGGACACACCCACACAGGGAATCTGCGCCTTGGGCAGGAACATGCCCACCAGGTTGTCATAGCGACCTCCTGCGGCGACACTGCCGACACCCAGGGTCGGGTCGTTGGAGCGGTCGTCATCCTCCAGATTGCCGCCCTTGGACTTGCTCTTCTTGCCGGACTTCTGCACGGCCTGGGCCTCCGGTGCGGAGGACGCCACGGCGGGGGCGGAGCCCTCGGTAACGACCTCGTAGATCACACCGGTGTAGTAATCGAGACCGCGGGCCAAGCTCATGTCGAAGGAGATCTTGTCCAGCACACCGAATGCCTCGAGGTAATCCATAAGCAGACCCATATCTTCCAGACCGGCCTTGGCAGACTCGTTGGCAGTCAGGCCCTCATCCTTGAGGAGGTTATCAAGGAGTTCGCGACCGCCCTTGTGCATCACGTATGTCTCGATCTTGTCGGCCACGGCGCCGTCCAGGCCCTTCTCCTCGACCATTTCCTTGCGCACGTCCGCCCAGGGCATCTTGTCCAGCTTGTCGACGGCACTGGAGATGGGACGGATCTTCTCCTCGGGTACACCGCAGACCTGGAACACACCGTCCAGAATCTTCCGGTGGTTGATCTTGATGTTATAGCGGCCGTTCCAGCCCAGCTCCTCGAAGACTTCGGTGACGATGCGCAGGATCTCGGCATCGGGGACCATGGGATCGAAGGTACCGGCGATATCGAAATCGCACTGGTAGAACTCGCGCATGCGACCCTTGCTCACGGCGGGCTGATCGCGACGGTACACCTTGGCGATGTGGTAGCGCTTCATGCTGCGGACATCCGGGTTCATGGCGAGCCAGCGGGCGAAGGGGACGGTGAGATCGTAGCGGAGGGAGCAGATTTCTCCACCCTGGTCTTGAAGGTCGTAAATGAGCTTGGAGTCCTCGCCATACTTACCGGCGAGAATCTCGCGCAGCTCGAAGACGGGGGTGTCGAGGGCAGTACCGCCATGGCGCTTGAAGACATCGGCGATGGTGGAGAAGATGCGGTCGCGGAGGAGGGCGTCGGAGCCGGACCAGTCCTTGGTACCCTTGGGGGTTTTGAGGTTGAAGGAGAGCTTGGATTCCTTTTCTTTGGGCATGGTGGAGAGCGGACGAGAGGGATGGGGAGGGAGAATGGAGGAGGGGGAGGAGGGAAAAGTCGAGTGGGAGAGGGAGATGTGGTAGTGGCGGTGGTGGGGGATGGTGGGGGCTTCGATCGCCTGCCGGATGTTTGGCCGCTCGCTGGTTTGGTGCTGCTGAAGGCTACGGCTGCTGGTGCTGCTGGTGCTGGTGCTGCGTCTGCAACTGCTCGCTGGGGCCCGGGGACACTCCGTCAGGGCTCGTCGGGCGGAGCGGAGGATGCGTGGTTGGAGTGAGGGGTGCATTCAAGAAATTGAGGTCGGACTCACCCGCGCGAACCGGCGTTATTGACGGGCAGCCTTAAAATCAGGAGCAAAGATGTTTGGAGGCAAAGTCGAAGTCGGCGAATCGGTGGTTTGAGATTTGTGAGTCAGACACCACATATGGAAGGTACACTATATACGACTATAGGGGCTATACTTTCATCAAATAGACACTTTGGCCGAGTGGTTAAGGCGCAGGCCTGCTACTACCTTACTGTACTAGCTGTTTAGCCTGTGGGTTCGCCCGCCTGGGTTCGAGTCCCAGAGGTGTCGCATATTTCTTTTTTGTTTTTGCCCTATCGCCTGCAAGCTGATACGGTAGTATGCTCATCCTTATTCAGAACATTGATCCCAATGATGGTTTTCTACTATCTATCTGGTGAATAATGAACTTTGAAATACCCCTGCGTCATGCTCAGTGCTGCAGGTTGTTTCTCCGCTTCCATGCGATGTAGCAGAGATCAGAACAATTCACATGGTAGCTGGAATGCTGGCTAGATCTACACATTCCTGGTCCACATCTAGAACCTCGTGGCTGCGAGTGATGTGAGATCAAGGCTGCAAGCGGTATGGCGAGATTTAGGTCTATCGATGGCCTGAGGCTTATGACAATGCCCAGAGTTGTTGGTAGATATTTGAAAGGGACCATCTTAGACACCGTCCATTACAAGGGTCATTCGACAAATGACGCTTATCCAGAAAAAAAGCTGGGCTGGGTCGTGGAATCCTCATGCCAAGGAAGTATTAATAGTTACAAGTATAGCAGGAGATACTTCGCGTTCGAAATCATCGCTAGAGGGACACCGTAGAGGAATGTCCATCCGGCTCGGTAGATCACCGAATGGGGCATGCGACAAGTTTCCAGTCTTACACAGTTATGCAAAGTAGTAGTAGTAGTAGTAGTAGTAGTAGTACGGGGTAACTAACTCCCTGCAACTAAAGCATTTGGACGTCGCCCTGGCTGGTTAGTTTCATTGGGGTGACTTCACTAATCAGATTCGGATTCGGTCTCATTCCGCCATCCGACCGAGGCGAAGAGCCAAGTGAAACTGAGTACAAAGCCGCAGTCACCACGACTACTGCTAGTATTACAGCCAAACCTGTCCAACTCCAAGCCCCAGCCCCCAGAACTGGTTTTTTTACTCACCATTCCAGGAAGAATCCCTGACTACCCGTTATGGTCCTACCGATTCCACGATCTGCCCCCGTGTAGTTTCAAGCACATGGATAGTATCAACCCACATGGACAGGGCGCTTATTGGCGGGGAGACGGTGGCTTGATGTGAGGCAGACCGGCACATGGGGAGATGTTACACTTTGGTATTTTGCACACCTGACGTCTGTAAGGATTGTGTTTTCCGGTTTGACCAGGCACTCACTCTCACTGCACACCTCCATACCAGCCGCCAGTAGCAAAACCTACTTACTGCTTCGGACTAGACTCCGGAGTAGACCGAGCGCGGTGGAAGGTTCCATTTAGACGCCCGCAGCTTTTAGTGCAGGCCCTAGTGCCCCCACGTCCACCCAATGACGTTATGGCTTGTTCTCATGGATCTTCCCCAAAGACCATTGATTTGTCGCAGGCTTGAAACCCAGATCCATGGTGCTTATCAATTGGTAGTTACAAAGTAATAAGCTAACCCGGGGCTATGATGTTACCTATTACTTTGTAGTTATCTGGCGCTTTATCGGGCTGAATGGCGCAGAGCGGATACCATCGGTTACGCCGTAAATAGTTTGTCCTCTAACTTCGCAGTATTCATGGTTGAAATTGCAAAAGCAGGTTGTCATGTCGACCTACTTTATGTTTTTATGCGTGCGTATAAATTATGGTTTCACTGCCGAACTCGATCCGATTTTAACTTTCTCATGGATGCAAGTGGCAGCTTGTTCCTTGACAGAATCGGAAAGCGACACGAGTGTCACTGGAACGGAAAGGAAACCAAACCCTGCTCCTTGTGTGTGTGTGTGTGTGTGTGTGTGTGTGTGTGTGTAAGGCACAATTACATCCGCTCCGTACAACGCCTCCGGTTTGTATGACGCTAGTATCTCAAATGCTGGGGTGGATGGGGTATGTGGGGCAATACAAATCATGCGATTGGTCACAAGGCACCCTTCTGATCCTTGAGTTTCCACGTGGTTCTGGTGTAGCGTGATACGGTATGTATGACATCGTACCTATCCATGTTCGCTTTGTGTACACTAACCGCTTACTACAGTGGTATGTCAAAAGTTTGCGTTGCCCCACTGTATACGCTAGTGATCCCGCCTTCCTGATATAGTAAGATCGAGGGTATTCTGCCTACCACAACAAAATATATGAAGTTTCTGATCATGAAATCTATATAAATCTGTCATATTGCAAATAATTAATATTCTTATATCAATATCCATGTAGGGCTTCATGATCACACGCTTTGTATACATTGTTTTGGTTGACAGAATATTTACGATCTAACTGTATCTGGAAGGCGGAATCAAATTTGGTTAGCGTATAATATGGGCAACGCAAACTATTGACATACCACTGTAGGTGGTATTGATCTTATCTAATAATGGTATGGCCCCGACCGTACCCCAGAAAGAGGGGGTGGAAGGAAAGGTACAACGGTGTAGGCAAAAGAACGCAGATGACGATTGCATGTACTACTACTGGGAATGGCAAAGTTAATACAGAATAAGAACGGGATCGGAATGCTCGAAGGCCTCCTGACCCCATCCCAGTTTCCCCTGGGACCTCCCCGCCCCCTTGGAAAAGAAATACCCCGGACACAGAGGCGCTGCGATAACTTGCCAACATGAAGCCACCGCCAAGAACGCCGCCAGGCCGGACTGGTTGCTAAATCACGCACATTATCCCGCGTCCATGACCGTTCGATAGATAGACCACTCTGATAACAGTGCTGGATGGTTCCAGCATCTCGTCCCTCTATCTTTCGTCAACACCAGTCATGACTATTGCCAAATGCACAGTATTCTGCTCAGGTTGGGTTTCCATGCCTGCAGTGAAAGCAAAGCCATCCCACGCATCTCAACGCAACCTATGCGTGTTTCAGGTAGTACCGGCCGCAGAAGGCTCGTGGAAAAGCTAAGCCATGCCAATGGGCTGGCAACAAATCAGAGCGGTGGTGTTCGACATCGACGCAACCGCACCTCACGACTCGTATCTTCCATATTACCCGATGGCCACCTGTTCCGCGCAAGCTTTCTCTGTCTCTCTTACACATCAATTCTCTGCACGGCTTATCTTCTCTTGTTCTTGTCACACCAGGGCTTGAATAGGAGAAGACATGGACAGCCGGATTCTTAGCATGCCAAATGGCCCTTAAATGTATGAAGTAGGTCAATTATTCTTCGGATTTAAGAGTAACTGACGGAGTTTACGGCGGAAGGGGAGAACCACCGGGTATATTACAGGCCAGTGGATCCGGCCTCAAATGTCTCCCCCTCCTCTCTTCTGGTGTTAGATTGCATTGCACGGTGTAGGCTGGTATATTTGTGGAGGAACCTTAATATATGGAAACTGTGACGTAGTATAAAGAGCTGAGCCAGCTATAGGGGGCCACTTGAACTCGCTAGGATCAAGATGAGAGAAAGGAGTAGAGTAGTAGTAGTGAGGGGGAACACAGACGGGGGGGCTGGTTCATCGGATGTCTCTTTTGGGAAGATGTGTGGGATGAGTTAAAAAATCTTGAAAACCACTGTAAAATACTGGTGGGTGTTTCTTGGGTAAAGAAACCCAGGACTGAGGTTTACCAGCGTGGAGTGAGATCGAGAAGACGGCCGGCTGTTTCTTTGCAATCACCACCAGTTTTGCGGGGGAAGAGAACCAGAACATCTAGACTCGGATAACTCTGGGAATCTGCTCCCGTCCAAATGATGGCTCAAAGTCTCTCTCTTCCCCCGGTCTGTGACAGTAGCACCCGTCAAAGCCATCTTTCCCCTCCTCGAAGCGTTCTTCTCCAAAAGTCAAATCGGTTTTGCCCCCCCAACCGCTCGGGCCCGCGCACCCGCCCGTCATTACGGGAGAACCCCCATGTAATATTACCCAGGCAGATGTGAAAGGCTGTATTCAGTATCCACTCAAGAGTAACTGGTGTATCAAACTGTGTACTGTGTATGGCTCGAGGTTCCTGACTTGGGGAATAATCCGGCTACCAACAACGTCGTTCCCCTACTCCCGCCTCTCCTCTCTCTGTCTCCCTCTACCTCTGCCTCTCACTCATTCTCTCTCTTTCTTCTCTTGTTCACCTTCTTCCTCTCCTTGTCCAGCCTTTCATTCTGCCTGCTCGTCTTCTTACACATCCCTTTGACCCCTGTTGCTTTCAATTCGTCTGTGCCTTATTCCCTCCGACCGCAGCGTTCTCCACCTTCGATTTCCGCCGCCCGTTCACGTTCCGCCCCATTCCTGGCTCACTCATCCACACCCACCCCCTCAAGCCCTTCCTCAAACGCTCGTCGGATCCGCGGATTTTGGAAACCCTATGCCGAGAATCTAGACGCTCTTCTTTTTATTCTTTGTCGCTGTCATTCGGTCGTCTCAAACCCCCCATCATATAGCCGACCGTTGCTCTCACAAACCCTCCTATCTCTACTCGACTTCGCTTACTGTACTTGCCGTCGCATACCGGCTGCCTCGCCTGCGCGCCGTCTTAACGCTTCACATCCACTCCCCTTCGGTTCCGGTGTCGGCTACTTTATTCGCGAAAGCTACCAGATGAAGTTGAATACTAAGGTCTTTGAGACTTTGCGATAAACATGGGGTCTTTTCTGAGGAGTTTCCGAAGAGATGTGGTAAGTCCTTCGATTTGCTGACTTGGCCGCGCTTCTTTTGCCTTGAAGTATGCTCTGGCCTTCAACGTCCTTGGGGCATATAAACTCGCCAGGATATGTCGACAATCCTTGAGGGAAACCTCAAAGGACATGCGGCAAGCCCTCAAGATCGCTAGAGAGCCAACCTGTCGCGTCTCCATCACCATTTGCCACAACTACCACAATGCTGACTGCATCCTTTTCAGGGATCTTCCACTCCTTCGGTCGGGGCGACTCCCGCGAAGAAAGAACCCCTGGCGCTTCCGATTACCCCGCTGGAGAAGATGCTGCAGGAAATGGGTTCGGATTCGGTTCGACAAGACGGTAGTGACAAGTTTTTCGGCATGGAGAACGTGAGTTGGCCCATTCTGCAAACCCATACCCCGGTTTATCGGAATTGCTAACAGTGGCTTCTGTTATTCAGTACGGAAATACTTGGTGAGTGGACCATCGGTACCAATCATTCAGTAGAGGGGAGAAACACCCTCCCAGAGTCATGTCACTAATCGCCCTTTTCGCAGTTACTGTAACTCAATCTTGCAGTGTCTCTACTATTCAGTTCCCTTTCGCGAAGCCGTACTCAACTATCCGACACGAACGCCGATAGAAAGCCTAGAAGCTGCGTTGGCGAAAAACCTTCGCTACCAGAACTTCGCCGCGAATCAGGAAGCTGAGGCACAAGCGGAGAAACAGAGACTCGCCAACGCTCAGCGACCCGGCGCACCTCCCGCTCAGCCACCGAAACCCGAAGACAAGGACTCCTCGGAGTACAAAAAGAAAATTGCTCTGCAGTCGCTGCCGTTGTTAGAAACGAAGAATAATGCCGGCAGTTATGGGATGTCAGAGTCGCTCTTCACATCCCTCAAAGATATCTTCGAATCTGTCGTTGCGAGCCAGTCCAGGATAGGTATCGTACGACCGCAGCATTTCCTGGACGTTCTCCGCCGTGAGAATGAGATGTTCCGGTCGGCCATGCATCAAGATGCTCACGAATTTCTGAACCTTGTGCTTAACGAAGTAGTTGCCAATGTAGAAGCAGAAGCCATGAAGCAACCTATACCGAGCTTGCCGCCAGCAGACACCACCGACTCATCCAGGCAGTCGATCAGTTCGGGCTCTAAAACTCCCAACACAACTCGATGGGTGCACGAGCTGTTCGAGGGAACCTTGACATCAGAGACACAGTGCTTGACGTGTGAGAATGTTTCCCAGCGTGACGAGATTTTTCTGGATTTGTCGGTAGATCTGGAGCAGCATTCATCAGTCACTTCGTGCCTAAGGAAATTCTCAGCAGAAGAGATGCTCTGCGAGCGAAACAAGTTTCACTGCGATAACTGCGGTGGGCTCCAGGAGGCTGAGAAACGCATGAAAATCAAGCGCCTCCCGCGAATTTTGGCACTGCACCTCAAGCGATTTAAATATACCGAGGATCTTCAGCGACTGCAAAAGCTCTTTCATCGGGTTGTGTACCCTTACCATCTTCGCCTCTTTAATACAACAGACGATGCGGAGGATCCTGATCGCCTATACGAGTTATACGCCGTGGTGGTTCACATTGGGGGCGGTCCTTACCATGGGCATTATGTGTCTATCATCAAGACGCAGGATCGCGGATGGCTGCTCTTTGATGATGAAATGGTGGAGCCTGTTGACAAGAATTACGTGCGCAACTTCTTTGGTGATAAGCCCGGCTTAGCATGTGCCTACGTCCTATTCTACCAGGAGACCACGTTGGAGGCTGTCTTGAAGGAGCAAGAAATGGAGAACATGAATGCCAGTGCGGCTGATGCGAACGAAGCTGCTGTGAAACCGAACGGCTTCCCCCAACCCGCGGGATTGGCTCATGTTCATAGTGCCTCGCAGATCCCCGTGCAAGACGAGCCTCAACGACACACGGGCCTCCGACGAGCCCCCACCGCACCTCAGCTACCCACACATACCGAGTATCCTGGTCCGGACATTGAGCCGTCAAGTCCCGCGGTAGCAACTCCACCCCCAGTCCCGCCAATACCTGAAACTGCCAACCGGCCTTTGAGCCCAAAGAAGAGTGACATCCAATCCAAGAAGGAGCGGGCCAAAGAAGAAAAAGAGCGCAAAGCAGCTGAAAAGGAGATGGAGAAGCAGCGTCGGAAAGAACAAGAAGCGAGGGTTAAGGAAAATCAGCGACGCGAGGAAGCCGAACTAAAGGCTGCCCTGGAGGCCAGCAAAGCGTCGAAAGCAGATGAGGATCGACGCAATCCTACGGAGAACGGCAAGGACGGCGATCCGAAGAGGTCCAGCAACGGTCTTAGCCGGTTGAAACGAGGCAGCAAGAGCTTCAGTCAGCGCTTAGGCAAAGACAAAGAAAGCCGTGCTTCGTCATCTGGTCTGCCGTCGGTTCCTAGTGCCGAACCTTTAACGCCGAATCCAGTGCCATTGGAGCCCGTCCAGCAGCTCTCACCGCGGAAGGCTTCCCCGCCAAAGGAATCACACGTCGTTCATAAGCCCTTAGGTCAAGACGACGAGCCAGACGCTCTCAAGAGTCCTAAGGGCGACCGGGCAGGGCATGGGAAATGGCGCAGTTTCAGCATCCGGAAGAAATCGTTCAGCATCCTTTCTTAAGGCCCGCTTTTCGCCGGTTGCACCAAGCATGCATCTATTGTTCGTCTTTTGCACATAACATACGTGGACTTTCCGTACATACTTTCTTGATGTATCATCACATTTCTCTTCACTACCGGCTCCTTCATTTGGCGATATTGCTCAGGGTGCGGGCATGTTGCCAGTGGATGCAAGGTTTGAAATGGGTCCGGTCCCTGTCTTATTTTCTTCACCCACCATTTGGCTCTTGCCTGCATTGTGATGTCTTCGAACTTTGCTTCTGCATGTCGTTTTAGCCAACCATTACTTCACTTGTTATTGCTATATATCTTCTCGACTGCTATTCGATCATGTGATACCCGTGCCTGGGTCACACAGCTGGGCAAGTGAGGCGTTCGGCGACTGATGTTTTTTTCGGATTTTGGATTTTACAAGTTATCTCAGGTTGTCGATTTTACTACCATTCAAAAATGGGTTATGGAGAAATGGGGTTCGTGACGGGTTTTCAGGAATGAAACAAACATCCTCCGCCGATGCCAGGAGCGAAATAGGGGGACGCAGTTCTTCGTGTAGGAAGAGAGTGAAGTCGGGGTCTGGACTTGTCATATCCTGTCTGGTCATGTTGAGCATTTCATCCTTCGGGTCCGTGGGATAGACCATATGTATCAACATTGCGTGGTATATAGACTGATGCGAGTACACGCATTAGATAGTAATCAAACTATCAACATTGAAGCAGAAGGGCTTATTATCACACCACCTAGTAGCTACCTCGGACTTGAGGTACGGGGCAGACATACACATGCGTCTCATCCTTAGCACTAGGAGCTAAGCACTCGCACATCCCCATATGACTACAGCAGGAAAGCAAGCGTCGATCCGTATTCTGTCCAACACATTCAATCCATTTTCAATCGTACAATGAACAGAACAAGAGAAAGAAGAAAAAGTTGGAATACAAACACACCCTCTCTAAGCCCCCCAGACCGGAGCAAGAATCCCAGCAGCAGTAGTAATCATGTATGTATGCATTTATAACACAACTCCCCATTCCTTCATATTATCTCCGGCTCAGCTTCATCCCAATTTAACCCAGAATAAGCTCGTACACGATAATTATCGTATTGATCACAATAAGCGGTACTAAACAATTCCCCGCAGTCGGTTAGCTTGTGTTTCCCTTTCTTTCTTTCTTTCCTTTCATTCCACCATTTCGCAAGCGTAATCACAATTTGAGAAGAGGGATGACGTACTTCGCATAACAGTCCTTACACTCGCAATCAGATTAATAGTCTTCGCTTTGACGCTGGTAGTATCGTAGGTTGCGCCGAAGGCTGGGTCATTTTGTGTGCGGCCCCATCCGACTGTTTTTTAATTTCATGAGTTATTCATTTATTCATTTATTGCGTTCCTCGTGATGGATGGGGAATTTCGTACTTCTGGCTAGAAAGCGGTCTTCGGAGAGGACAGCGAGGGAGTTGATGAGGAGGATGATGACTGTGATTATGCGATTGAATTAGTTACTTGTTGTCTCCTGTGAGCTGAGTCGTTTGGGGGGAGAGGGGAGACATGGGATATGCGCACCGTAGACGAGCTTCCCAAGACCAAAGAAGAACATCTTGGCTGGTTGGGGGAGGGGAAGGAGGAATGTAGACTGAAATGGTTCTTGAACGGTGGTGGTGAAACGGAGATACTGGATGGAGATGGCGGAGGAGAGGCGGAGAAGCCGCGGCGGCAGTATCGCGGCATACGTAATTTTACCCGCTGGGATGTTGTTGTCCTTTTGGATATACTCTTCTTTCTTGTCTTCTTGTTAGAAGTATTCTGGACATTAAAAGAAGGTGCTTAGGGTGTCATCATGGGGAGAGATGTCGGTAGGTAGTCATTCATCATTCTCTATATTGCACGGTATTCTGATCTACTCTCTAGTCTTCCTGCTGCTCCTCGCCGCAATCCCGGCCCTCGTTCTCCTCCATCTCGCCGCAGCGCCCTATACCAAGGTAGAGGAGTCGTTCCACATTCAGGCTATTCATGATATACTGTCCTCCGGGATCCCGACTCGCAATGTCTCCGAGATACTGCGCACAGAATACGATCACTTTACCTTCCCTGGCGCCGTCCCTAGGACGTTCGTTGGCGCCGTGATGCTGTCCGGTCTGTCGCAGCCATTCATCTGGTTGAAGGCCAACATTGACAGACAATTCCTCGGTATGTGCTTCTTTCTAGCATGGCTTGAGCAGCGCCTCTGACGATGGCGATCTACTTCAGCACGCGCCATTCTGGGTCTCTTTAATGCTGCCTCATTGCTTGCATTTGCTTCTGGTTTGCGCCGCACTGCCGGCAAGACCACCGCAATCTGGTACCTACTCTTCCAAACTAGCCAATTCCACATCTTCTACTACGCATCGCGAACCCTGTCCAACATGTTCGCCTTTGGCCTCACCACCTTGGCCCTGCGATATATCCTTCCAGAGCCCGTGAGTCCCGCAGTGTACAAGAAACGGGCCCGTCTCTCCCTCTACCTCATGACCGTCGCCGGCATCATCTTCCGCTCCGAACTGGCCATCTTCCTCGCAACCAACACCGTCTTCCTCTTCGCGACCCGTCGCATCAGCATTCAGCGCGAGATTATCCCCGCCGGCATCCTTGGCCTGCTCGTCGGCCTCACCTCCACCGTCCTCGTGGACTCCTTCTTCTGGCAACAATACCCCCTCTGGCCTGAACTCGCAGCCTTCAAATTCAACGTCATCTCCGGCCAAGCCTCCGCCTGGGGCACCCATCCCTGGCACTTCTACTTCACCAACGCCGTTCCCCGTCTCCTCCTCAACCCTCTAACCTACGCCGTGGGAATCCCATTCGCCCTCTTCCAGCCCTCCACCCGCCGCCTCGCGGCCAACACCGTCATCCCTTCCCTGTTCTTCCTCGCCATCTACAGCGCCCAACCCCACAAGGAATGGCGCTTCATCATTTACACCATGCCCGCACTCACTGCCGCCGCCTCTCTCGGCGCATCATACATTTGGACCCATCGGACTAAATCCCTCCTCTACCGTCTCTTCTCCCTAGCTATGCTCGCATCCACCTTCGCCTCCTTCCTCCTCTCCACCTTCGTTCTCCTCCCCGCCTCGTCGGCAAACTACCCCGGTGCTCACGCCTTGAATACCCTCCACGCCTACGCCGAGAACACCAACTCTTCCTCATCCCCCGACTCCATCTCCGTCTACCTAGGCAACCTCGCCTGCCAAACAGGCGTCACCCGCTTTCTCCAACACCCATCCTCCTCCTCCTCTCCTCTTTCAGAGCCAATCAAACCCTCCTGGCACTACGACAAGACCGAAGATGAAACCACCAAGTCATCACCGACGTTCTGGTCACAGTTCGACTACGTCCTGGTCGAACCAGGTGAAGAGACGGAGAAGGTCCTCGGATCCTGGGAAGTCGTAGACACAGTTGATGGGTTCGCAGGGCTGAGGATCGTCCGTCCTGGTGATGAGGCTGTCGGGGCTGTGGAGGAGAAAGTGGTAGCGTATGTGTTTGGAGATGAGGGGGTGAGGCTCTTTGAGAAGGGAAGGGAGTTTGTGAGGAATGTGGTTACGAGGGGTTGGTGGGTTGAGGTGAGAATGGAGCCGAAGATTAGGATTTTGAAGAGGGGGGTGGAGGTATAAGTTGAGTTGGTAGATTAGGTTTTGTATATATACCCTTAGTAGTACTACTAGTTCTTAAGTTTTGTGGTAATCGTTGTGACATATACTTTTATAGATTATAGTAGCATTTACAGTGACGTAAGGTAACAAAAACCATGTATCTATACTATTAAATTTAAATTGCTATCGGAATTGCTGCTGATGGTATTTCGCTTGACAAATGATATATGGGTACTCAGTACTACTATCAACCAGCTACAGTTACAAGAAGTTTAGTAGTTATATGTTCATACTATTCCACAATCTTCCGAATCATGCGCCCTGCCCCTCCAACCGATCCAGCCTCGCCTCCAAATCCCGCACCCAAGGTTCGACAAGCTCGATATTACTCTTCATCGCTGCTTCGCCCTGGCCCATCTTCTCCTCGACTACCTGCAGACCCTCGCGCCACTGCTCAATCTCCCTTGCCATATCCGCCTGTCTCTTCTCCAGTGTATCAAGTGACTCCGAAGCCTGTGCAGCACCCGCATGGATAGCGCGAAGGGAGCGAAGCCGCTCCAGCACGCTGGGAAGGATGGGATGAAGGGACTGGATTGTAGGGAGAGTAGCGTAGAGGGCCTGGATCTTGGTAGCTTGTTCATCGCGCTGTGTAGCAGCCGGGTCGACTTCCGTAGCGGAGGACGACGAGACGGACATGTCTGAGGGCTCGATAGCGGCGGAAGCGATGCGCGCGTTCTGAGCTGCCTTGGCGGCGTCCACGGCACGTTTACGCGCGGACGCGAGGGCTTCTGTGTCTGCGGTGAGTTTGCGGACTCGAGTGGAGAGGGTCTCGAGATGCGGGGTGGTGACTGTTGTGGAGGGGGGTGCGGAGCCCATTGTTGGCACGGCGGAGACGGGGTTCGGGCCGACGAGGATGTTCATGAGGGTAGTGAGGCGGGATGTGAGGTGGTCGACGGCTGGGAGGACAGGCTGGAGGGCGGGTTCGGAGATGCCGTCGCTGACGAAGGGGTTGGAGGAGCTGGAGATGCCCATGGCGGCTTCGATGAGGGCGAGACGGCCGTCGAATGCTGCGGCGTGGGCGAGGACACCCGAGGATGAAGGAGCTGTGGGTTCGGGTTGTTGTGTGGCGTCTGCGTTCTGGGTGCTGAGTGCAGCGGTTTCGGATGTGGATTTGGTTGCGATCTTTTGTGCTAGGATTGCAGCTGCGGAGTGTAGCCCCGTGTTGTCGCTGCGGGAGGTATAGAGGTTGTCCAGGGCGCGGCTCAATTCGAGGACACCGTCGTCCGTAGGCTCCTTCCCTTCGGCGGCTTCTGGTTCGGTATCGGTCTGTCGAGCGGCCATCTCGTCTTTCAGTTCCTCCACTTCCCTGCGAAGGCGGGCGAGCTTCCTCTCTAGGCTTTCCTCTTCGCTGTCGCTGATGTCTTCGGGCTCTTCTGAACCGTTCTCATTTCTGCGCCGGCGACGGTTCTTGTTCTTGTATGCCTTCCGCTTCATCGCGATACTGTCGGAGAAGTTGACATCGCGCGCGTCGACCGTGGCTCCTAAGAAGTGGGCGCGTGCCTCGTCTGCATTGATCCCCTGCCGGTCGATGTCGGAGTTGGAGCCGGCGTCATCGTCTACATTGGATGCGGTGCGGATAGTTGTAGTCTATAGAGTGTAGTGTCAAGGATAAGCAGCTAGAAGCGTTGGAAAAGGCAGACGCAGGCGTCAGGCGGGGTAGCTAACCGCAACGGTGGATGCTTCGTCGGTCAGATCGGGGGTCTCGTAGATATCCGGAGCGAGATCCTGGCCCAAACAAACGATGTTAGTAGTCGGTTGATTGAGATGGGGCAGGAGGGAGGTATGATGGGCGTAACATACCAGGTCGGGAAGACCAGCATACTTCCTATTGAAAGACATGGCCAATTGCTTTTTCTAATAGCAAGATAATGGCCGACTGGAGACAAGGACAGGCTGGGTAGTATATTTACAGAAGCATGATTGATTGATTGATGGGTTTGGGGCTCCTCCGCGGGCGGGCACGTGAAAGGGGCATCATCATTTGTGGCCTGAGGCAGATATAATGTGGGAGAGAACCAAACTATCAAAAAGACGGGTACCTGACCATGAATGAAGCGGTGTGTTTGCCTGTCATGGAACAAGGACATAGTTGCTGAATTAGTTTGAATAGCATAATCTATATATATTTATAACTACTATAGGTATGACATTATTCTACAAGGAAGTTACTACGTGGAGTAATTACTAGGATGTGCTCGTCGGTCAGCAAATACTCCGGACCATTATTTACACTTTAGAAATAAATAGTCCGCAACCGAGTCGTCGATCCATGACACCATCTCAGCCAAATTGGAGCAACGTCTACCATCACGGCGAACTATTGCGCACCTCCAGCTACTAGTAGTACTACTCCAGAATGCCAGTCGCCAAATCAACATCAAATAGGCGGTGGCACGTGTCAGATGCCTCGGCGGAAGTCACAATCCCGCGATAGAAATGGAAAAGCCCATCACATGAAGCCCCATCTAGTAACTCCTGCAGCATATAAGTAGTCAGATTGTCGGCGCTGCTCCACGTCCATTTCCCCTTCCACTCCCCCAACTCATTCTTGTACGACCATCGCCGATTCCTCATTAATCATCTTGTGACCAGACCAATTGTTGTCCTGGTCATCATCCCCATCACCCATTCTTACATATAACCGCCTACTTTCCAGTCTCGTATCTTATCAATCTCACCCCTCATCGTACCATCACCATGGCTGCCCCCGCAGACAGCAACCTCAAGAACCTCAATGGAGAGTGGACAATGGTACCGATTCCCGTTCCTTTATTTCGTAAGATCTCTACTGACCCTATTCATTCCAGGACAAAACCCTCTCCAACCCCTCAGAGCCCATTCTCGAGTTGGTAAGTTCCACAGCCCATTTGTGGGCTCTACAAGTCAACCATGTATACGACTCAAGGCGGCAACTGTCTTGCTAACATACTGCCGTGGGTGTCATAGCAAGGAATGAGTTGGCTCATGCGTAAAGCTCTTAGCGTCGCAACAGTAACCCTCTCCATCCATGAGTATCCCGATGCCGCAGAGCCGTCTGTATGGCACATCGATATCGACCAGACTGTCACCGGTGGCATCAAGGGTACGACCGAGAGGCGTATTAGTGACAATAAGGTACGAGAGCACGATGACCACATCTTTGGTCACCTCAAAGGTCAGTCGCGGTTCTTCCGGGGCTCTAAGGGCGAGGACGGAAAGGTGCGCCCTTATACAGAATTCGAGACCAAGATCGACGAGCCCCAGGTCTACAAATTCCTTAGAGGAGAAGTTCTAGCCGACGGAAGTCCGTCTGAGGGCTTTGTCGTCGATGAAACTGGTGAAGAATTTGGCGAGGGAGAGGGGCTCTGGTATTCCAGCTTTGTGGAGAACCTAGATAGCGGCTGGACTGCCGAACAGGTTCGTTGTTTCTTCATATTACCCGCCTTTTGACAATTTTTGACGCAGAATAAACAGGTTTGGGGATTCGAAATCATTGACGGCAAGCGCTATTACACTCGCCGTGTTGCTGTCGTCAAGGGCAAAACCTACAAGCTGGCCCGGCTGGTCTACAGCTTCGTCAAGCCACGGGCTGAGTAAGGGCATCCTACGTGAGACGCTCTTGTTCGCAAGCTGGCATACATCATGGAAAGGATGCATGGCAGACAGGGTAGTTACTGCCCTAACACTAAAACCCTAGAGGCAGGGCTCCATTGCAAGATGTGACTGCAGAAATGCTGTCCGCACTAGTTTCGACTAGGGATGTCCCGCAAATTGAAATATCATTATGTTCCCTAAAAAAAACTATACCTAAGACTCTTCGTAAAACTTCCACATATGTATGGTAGTCACGGAATGTAGAAGGCCGTACTGAATCACATGTCCACTTGTCCAGACCGAGGTACGATGATATCAGATTAGGAGATACCAATGACATCCGCGCGAGAAGCGTATAAGCGGACAAAAGCAGAGCCAATTTGAGGTATGCAATCGAGTTAAAACAATCCCATACAATCAGAAACCCCGAAAACACGAACTAAATGGTATTTCATAATAAGAAACAATCATATCTGATGCAACTTGGAAAACAATCCCTCACGAATGAGTCGGCATGACCGTATGAGCCTTAGTGCTAACAGCGTCCTCACTCCTCCACAAACTAGTCACCGTCTTCTGCTGCGTGTAGAACTGCAACCCGGGCTTACCATAGAAAGTATTAGCGCCACCGCCGGCAATACTCTTCTTGTTGCCGGTGAAAGAGAACATGGGCAACGGCACAGGAATGGGCACGTTAACACCGACCTGGCCGGCCTCGATGTCCTTCTGGAAGCGAGAGGCCGTGGAACCGGAGCGAGTGAAGATGGCAGCTCCGTTTCCGTACTCGTTCTTGTTGATGAGCTCAATGGCGTCGTCTAGTGTGGGCACGGACAAGCAGACGAGGACGGGGCCGAAGATTTCTTCCTTGTAGCATTTCATTTCGGGGGTTACGTTGGTGATGATGGTGGGGCCAACCTGTGGTTTTGGTGCTGGTTAGAGAGAAGATGTAGCTGGATAGGAGACGGGGAAGGGGGTTGGGTGGAAGCTTACAAAGTTGCCGTTGGGGTACTTCTCTGGCTTGTAGCCTCTGCCGTCGAGGAGGATGGTCGCACCCTCTTCTTCGGCGCTGGCAATCAGGTCTTCGATGCGCTTCTTGCTTTCGGGGCTGATGACGGGGCCGAGGTCAGCGCCTTCTTCGAAGCCTCCGTTGACGTTCAGGGCCTTGGCCCGTTCGGCCATCTCGGGGAGCCAGTCCTGAGTCTCGCCGACCATGACGACCGTACTGAGGGCCATGCAGCGTTGGCCGGCAGCACCGAAGGCCGCTCCGACGAGGGCGTTCAGGGTCTGGTTCTTGTTGCAGTCTGGGACTACGGCGGCATGGTTCTTGGCGCCCAGGTTGGCCTGGACACGCTTGCCGTTGGCAGAGCCGCGGGTGTAGATGTACTCTCCGGCGCGGTTGCTGCCGACGAAGCTGATGGCCTTGATGGCGGGTTCGTCGAGGATGAAATCGACTGTCTTGGCGGAGCCGTGGACAATGTTGATGACACCGGGGGGGAAGCCTGCTTCCCGGGCCAGCTCGGCCAGGATCATTGCAGCTCCGGGGTCCCGCTCAGATGGCTTGAGGATGAGACAGTTGCCCGTCACGGTAGCGATGGGGATGCACCACAGGGGAATCATTGCGGGGAAGTCTGCCGAGGGGAGGGGGTGCGGTTAGCGTCGGACAATGTCACCTAGCTTGCAGGACGGATGCAGGATCACTTACTGAAAGGACAAATGGCAGCAACCACACCCAAGGGCTCTCTGTAGCTCCTGGTCTCCATATCCTTGGCCACTTCGAGCACCTCGCCCGTTAGCTGGGTGGTAATACCACATGCTGTTTCGGCAACTTGAAGACCGCGGAGAACATCGCCCTTGGCATCGGCAAAGGTCTTGCCCTGCTCGAGAGTGATGGATGCAGCAAGTCGGTCCCAGTTGGCACGAATCAAGCTCACGAACTTGAACATGATCTGCTGCTTGGCAATGACGCTGGTTGCGCGCCAGGCTGGGAAGGCCTTCTCGGCCGACTCGACGGCGGCACGGAGTTCCTCATCGGTGCTTTGCGGCACCCGAGTAACGAGGTTGTTGGTAGCAGGATCGTGCAGATCGATCCAGGTAGTAGCCTTAGAAGCCACAAATTGGTTGTCCAGGAAATTGGCGGTGTCGATGGGGTTGGCGATGGGGCTATGGTCCGTCGGGTACTCGGTGGCGGTAGTAGCCGCGGAGGTAGTTGCGGGGGTGAACTGCTGGGCAGTAGCGTGGAGTCGACGTGTTGCTGACATGGTGGCAGGTGAGGATGAGGAGAGCTTAGATGTCGCAGGAGAAGTTGTCGAAGAGGAAGAGGGCATTATAACAGTAGAAAGGCGCCTCGAGGCCGAAGCTGCAGCTACAGATCTGGAGGTGGCCACGGCCGTGCGGGGAGAGGCGGCGCGGAGAGCGGGGATGGAACGGACAATAGACCGACGGGCGGCCATGATTGAAAGATGGAAGATAAGAAACGTGAGAGATGGATGTTCGGGGTCAGGAGGACAATGATTTGAGAAGAAAGCCCGAATCACAAGGAAGAGCAAGGGAAATAATTCAAGGGGGAGGAGGTGTGGACAGCAGGAAGGGAGGCAAAGTAGATAAATACGTGGAGGCCGTTCAGGTACCAGGTTCATACTGGGTCTGGTACTTTCCCCGTATTGATGCGCTTTCCGCCGAGGTTCTGATAACGCTCGGCGTCTCCAACCAATCACATGGTCACCCGGAACTGCCTGCCCAATCCAGTCATTGTATGGGGTAATCTCGAAGCATACTTAGTGTTTAGCTCGCTGACCTGGAGAGAGCATCTACTACGATCTATCCATAGGTAGTCCCTGTATAGTAGCTAAATATGCTCTTGATGGGAACTGCGGGTTACATTCAACTCTTTGCGGAGATGGCAACTTCTGTGCGAATAACAGGCTGGTGTCGGCCCTTCTCCGATGACGGTGTACAGGAACCTCGGACTCCGCACCCCAGACGATCGGTCACAAAAATGTGACACCGCTTGGAAAGTCACAAAACTATCAGATCATTCCGTGAACTAGAGAAACCAACAGTAGAATTCTGCAGCTTGGCTACTTTTACACATCTCACTTGCATTAACCTCCCAAAGAAACCCCCCCAATTGAGGTCTGCTTGTCCTCTTCCTTGTATAGGCGGCAGCTGATACCCAGCTGGCCTTCTCACCATGGAATCAGAAAGAAACATTGATTGAACGCTGCAACAGAGGTATAAAATAAAAACACAATGTAGTTAGGATATCCCTAGTTTGTTTGTTTGTTTGACCTTTTCGCCTTTTAAACTCTCCCCCTTTCTTTCCTGCGTGCTGTTCCACCGATAGCTGCACCACTTTACTCGGCAGAAGAGCGGGTAGTGCGCTTGGTAGCACCACCCTTGCCAGTGTCTGCGGAGGAGCTGGAGGCCGCACCGGTCTTCTCCTTGGTAGCACCAGCAGCCTCCTTGCCCTTCTTGGCGGGGGCAGGGGCCGGGGTGCTGGCACCAACGGCTCCGACGATGACAAGGATCATGGTGACGATAACAGCGGCAAGACCACCGGCAACATCAGGAACCTGCTTCACGGCGTTGATGGGGTCCTGCTTGGAGAGGCGGACAAAGTTGTCGACCTTCTCCTTGATGTGGCCCACGGGGTCTTCCTTGAAGCTAACGCTGGGTTCGGCGGCCTTCTCTTCAGGCTTGGGCTTGTTGGCCTCCTCCTCAGCCAGCTCAATGGGGTGCTTGACATCGAAGGTCTCCTGGCGCAGCTTCTCGGCATCCTCGGCGGAGTGACCAACGTAGATGTTGTCGAACAGGATGTCGTTCTGCATGGTCCAGATCTCGAAACCAATCTGCATCATCATTAGTCATCCAAAGCCTTAGCATTAGAATTAAGAGGTACACTTACAGCGCCCATGGGCTCAAAGTTGGAGGGAGTCTTGTCCTCGAAGTAGGCGGGGTTGGCAATCTTGCGGGGGGCCCAGGGTCCCTTGTAGGCCGGGTTGTCAATCAAGGGAGCAGACCACTTGCCCTTGTAGTCAGGGTTCTTCTTCATAGGGGGAGACCAAGGACCACATCCGGAGGCATCCTGGCACTTGGGGTTGGGAACAGTGGGAGGAACCCAGTCGCCATCCTCCTCATCATCCCAGTCCTCGGGCTTCTCGGCCTCGGGGTCAGGGATACTAGTGGGCTCGTCCTCGAGCCAGTCCTCGGGAATGGTAGCCTCCTCGTCGACAATCTCGAAGGGAGCCTCCTCGTCCCAGTCCTCGGGCTTCGTAGCCTCAGGGTCGGGGATCTTGGCCTCATCAACCCAGTCGGCGGGCTTCTTGTCCTTGGGGTCGTCGATCTCCTTCTCGGGGTTGACAGGGGGGTTGAAGTCCTCAAGGAGGGAACCTTCCTTGACGGACTCGCCATCAATCAGGATCTGGAAGGTCTGATCGGGGTTGACGACCAGGGTGTAAACGGAGGTAACCTTGGAGGTACGGGCGGCGGGAGGTGCCTTAAGGTGCTTCTCCTCGTACTCGCCGGTCTTGGGGTTCTTGTGACGGAAGATGAAGTGAACCTAAAAAAGACAGAGCTGTTAGTCCCTGTTGCAGTCACCTGCACTAAGCAGCATTTAGCAAGATCTTACCTTGTTGGTGGCACCACACTTGTCGGGACCGAACATGATCACGTAGGGAGACGCGTTCGAGAACTCGTCGAGGTGGAGCTGCTTGTTGTCCTGGAGAAGCTTCAGGTAGGCACCACCGCAGACAAGGGAGTCTGTGACTATCGTTAGCGTCCCAGCACCCAGCATGCGCAGCAATTGTCACACTTACTCTGCGGCTTCACCTCATACTGGACGACCAGAGTCTTGTCCTTGTTGTCGATCTTCTTGGGGAACTTGGCCGAGATGGCGTGGTGGGCAGCGACGTTCTTGACGACGAGACCCTTGTCACCCTCCATACCCTTGAGGACAGTGGGCTCCTCGACAGACCATTCACCAACATAGGCCCAGTCTTCCTCGGATTTGGAGTCCTCCTTCTCAGCGTGAGAGGGAGTCCACCGGGAGTCCCAGTCATCGGTGAACTGCTCCAAGAAAGGAGCCTCGATGGAGGTGGGCTGGAAACACGCAGTTAGCAGGGCGCGGGCAGCACCTCATATCATTCTGCGGAATTACTCACGGTGAAGGTAGGCTTCTCGGCCAAGGAGGTGGTCTCGGGCTTCTTCTCGGTCTCCTCAGCATGGGCATAGCCCATGATGGAAGCCGAGGAGACCAGGGCAGAAGTCAAAGCAGCGTTGAAACGCATGGTGGATAGCGACCGGCGCTCTTAAAACCAGAACGTCCGAGAGAGGGAGGGAAGGAAAACAAACAAAGGCGAACAGAGCGCACCAGCAATTGAACCTCCGGAGAGGGTAAGGGTGGATCAAAGAGGGAGAGGAAGGCAAGCTCAACAGTCAAGTAGCTGCACGGGGAAGGTAAAGGGAGAGGGAGAGGAGGAAGAAGGAAACCGTTGGAGCAGTGGTTATATAAGAAGACGCAAGGCGATGCATGAAGCTGGGAAGTTCAAGGTGGCCTCTTCCGCTGCCGCTGCTCCTTGTGGAAAGGTCCCGCCTGCCCGATCTGGCTAGTCGCGCTTCTCCAATGTTCTGCGGGTGCAAATCGGCTGCTGGTATTTGTCCGTTCCTCGGGATGTATTTAATTTAGTCAGTAGACCCAGAGTCTAGAAGAATTGCAGTTCATGGAATTGAATTCCAGTGAACATATGTAATCTCTTTCTCAGCAGCTCATAATCTCTGCAGTAGGCATGAGTAACTCAAGTAAGGACCTTGTGGCCCATTGCAAATGACCACATAAAAGATCCGGTCATTCCTTTCCCTGGGGATTGTGATTTACACAGACTCACGCTGTTTAGATAGATTACTTCCTCTTCCGTTGCTTGTCCACCAATGGTCGGCGATGGCGCGAACACACTCCCCCCGCTACCTTAATCCACCCAAAGGCGTTAGTGAGGTGATTTGCTTCTGCTTTCCCCTCCCCGCCGCCTGACAGTTTTTTATTTTTTTGTCAAACCTCCTCTTGCCTCACCTGTACGACGTCCAAGGCACTGTCGCTGTATTTTCAATATATAGATCTATTTCTCCTATCTTCAAATTTAGAGAAGATCTACTGCAGGATTAGTGCTTGAGAATACGTGACAATCACCCTAAAGCCGATCGCCCCGAGCTGTCTGTGCCTATCTAATCGATCTTACAACCACGCGCAATATCCATCGCCATGGCCCAGGAAATCCAAAAAGAGAACAATGACCATTTGGTCCAGTCGTCTGACCCCGAGCATCCCGCCAACTTGATCCCTGATCTCTGTCGCCGGTTCTACAATTGGGGCTGGGTCACTGGTACTGGTGGCGGGGTAAGCACTGTTGCACCTCCAGGACGATCATGAATAATCGCTAATTGATCACTATTTATAATGCATTAGACTTCCATTCGTCGCGATAACCATATATTCATTGCTCCTTCTGGCGTGCAGAAGGAGATGATGAAATCCGACAACATCTTTGTCTTGGAATTCCCTACGCCCAAGTATCCTCCGTCCGACCGCAAATATATTCGCAAGCCGCTCGACCTGAAGCCCTCGGCATGCACGCCACTGTTCCTTGCCGCATTTGAGCGCGGGGCTGGCTGCTGCATTCACACTCATTCTCAGTGGGCGGTCCTGGTGACCCTCCTGGTTGAGCGCGAGAAGGGCCCGAACGCCTGCTTCGAAATTAGCAACATTGAACAGATTAAGGGTATTCCCCGTGGCAAGGGCAAGGGCATGATGGGATTCTACGATACTCTTCGTATCCCGATCATTGATAACACCGCGTTTGAGGAAGACCTCACGGGAAGCTTGGAGAAGGCGATGGAGGAGTACCCTGACACCTATGCTGTCCTTGTGCGGAGACACGGAATGTAAGTTTCATACTCTAACTCTTAACTTTTTCGAGTGACGGCGGGCTCATGTGTGTGTATAGTTATGTGTGGGGAGACGACGTCGTCAAAGCCAAGACTCAGTGCGAGAGTCTAGACTACCTGTTCCAGCTTGCTGTTGAGATGCACAAGCTTGGCCTTCCGTGGGTGAAAGAAACGTAGTTTGAAGGAATTGTTCGCTGAAATGCTCAATTCTTTGTAGTCCAGCAGTTGGAGGTCTTCTGTCTTGGGCCGCACGGCTATGATGACGATACATATGAAATAAACAACTGATTCACGTGAAATACTATAGTCCAGTACTTCTTTGTAAAAAATGGGGACGGGGAATTTGAGTGCCTAGTATATATCTTGGGGAATGTACTGGCTTGGGATGGGAATTCATCCACCAGGCCAGTGTGTTCTTCGCCAAGTGCTCAAGTTCACCGGACTGTAAGCATTGAACAGAATCTCAGACGTGTTTGCATAGGCAGGAAGGACGTCTTTTTAGTTAAACAATGGGAAGAGTTGCAAGTTCGAATGAAGGTCAGCCTGAAGGTCCTCCATCGAGCTTGGCGGGGGAACCCTAATCCGTAGTTGGACAACGGCGCGGATCATCGGACTACGGCAACCTGGTCGCTCCCTCCAACTCCCCCGACTGCGGCCACTCCCCAACCCCTCACGCTGTCTTTCAATTTCTCCTGCTAATTTCTATCCTTAATCGATACCTCTTGATTTCCAACCTATCCCAGTTTGATACCAACGTCTGTCATGGATCTCGACGCTGGCGACTCCCCGTGGGGCGGTAAGCAACCAGGCAGTCACGGATACAATCGCATCGTGCTTCGTCTAACGCAGGTATGCAGACGTGCCTTCACAATCGACCACCACCCATCAAGCATCCCGATCCGAAGTAGAAGAAACGTGTATGTTCCTAAATGAGCATCTTGCATCCCTGTACCTCTTATCCGAGCTTTCTAACCCGATGACGACACTCCTCAGCCCCCGATCAATCGACACAACAAGCTAGCCCCAGTGCCCCCCGTTCCCCTGTACGACGAGGCCCACGAGGCACCCGAAGGATCAATGCGCAAGCGACGAAACTAGAGGCGGTGGATGACTCGTTTGATCCTCTTGGTCCGCTCGGAGACAAGGCGGAAACTAGTCCACTTGAGCAGGCACCTGCCCCGCCGCAGAAGGAGGTCTTCTCAGGGCGCAATGTTCGTCCCACATCATCTGCCTCCCAAGCGTCCACAGGAACTGGCTTGGCGGATTCCGTGAATCTGGAAGAGGATGGTGCAGGGTTCCGAGGGCCTCCGCCGGTGCAACCCCCGAGTGACGCAGAAGGGGCGAAACGGCAATCCGAACCCAGTATTAGCGTGGAGAAAGCTGCGAACCCGACCTTCGATATCACTGTCGGCGATCCGCACAAGGTCGGAGATCTCACCAGCAGTCATATTGTGTACCAAGTGAGAACCAAGGTATGTCATTTCGGTGGGATGCCGTAGGACTCCGCTCATGCTATATATAGACGACCTCCAAAGCCTACCGACAACCGGAGTTTACTGTCAGCCGCAGATACCGTGATTTCCTTTGGCTCTATAATTCGATGCACAACAATAACCCCGGTGTTGTTGTCCCCCCTCCTCCAGAGAAGCAAGCGGTGGGCCGTTTCGATACGAACTTCGTCGAGTCTAGGAGGGCTGCCCTTGAGCGGATGCTGAACAAGATTGCGGCGCACCCTATTCTCCAGCATGACGGCGATCTTAAGATCTTCCTCGAGAGCGAAACCTTTACCATGGACGTGAAGAACAAGGAAAACAGGGAACCGGACCTTGGCCAGAACAAGGGCATGTTCAGTTCCTTTGGCATTAGCGTCGGTGGCGGTGGAAAGTTCGTCGAGCATGATGATGTAAGTTTGTCTACAAGTGCGAGCGGGTAGCAGTGCTGACAACTCCAGTGGTTTCATGACCGCAAGATCTACCTGGACGCCCTAGAGAATCAACTCAAGGCATTGATGAAGTCGGTTGACACAGTGGTGGCGCAGCGCAAGGGGCTGGCCGAGGCTGCTGGCGACTTTTCGGCTTCCCTCCATGCATTAGCAGCTGTCGAGCTGTCTCCTGCACTTTCTACCCCTCTGGACGGTCTTTCCGACCTACAACTACGGATAAGGGAGCTATACGAACGCCAAGCTCAACAGGATGTTCTCACCCTGGGAATCACAATCGACGAGTATCTTCGTTTGATTGGAAGTGTGAAGACGGCCTTCTCTCAGCGCCAGAAGGCTTTCCACAGCTGGCACGCGGCGGAAGCGGAAATGCAGAAACGCAAACATACCCAAGAGAAGCTTCTCAGACAGGGTAAGACGCAGCAGGATCGTCTGACCCAAGTCAATGCCGATGTGGCCGATGCCGAGAGGAAGGTTCATCAGGCACGACTCCTCTTCGAGGATATGGGTCGACTTATGCGAAATGAGCTCCAACGATTCGAGAAGGAGAAGGTGGAGGATTTCAAATCTGGCGTTGAGACCTTCTTGGAGAGTGCAGTGGAAGCGCAAAAGGAGGTGAGCAGCTACATGCCTGGTATTCCAATCGTCACAAATGTTTGCTAACAGAGATCTCGCAGTTGATTGAGCTTTGGGAAACATTCCTCTTGCAGCTGGATGCGGGTGAAGAAGGAAACCCTCTCTACGGCACCGCGGGAGTGAGCGATGCTTCTGCACCCCCTGCGGTCGAGGACACCGCCGAAGCTACTCCAGCAGAGGAGGCATAGGCGGTTCTTTTACCAGTCTGACTGTACAAAAGAAAAGCGACGACTTGTTGATGTCCCCTCCACCCTCCGCTTTGCGGTATTACCCAACGTTAATTATCACTTTGCCTGCTTACTGAGAGGAGCGGCGCACGTTTGTTCATTTTCTTACGGCGAGTCGTTCATACGTATTCAATGGGATGGATCACTATAGCAGCGCCCTGATATCAATGGCTCCTCCAATGTAGTATAGTAATCGCTTCAACCTCGTTTATCCACAACAACTCATAGACACCGCAATGGCTACACTCAGATAAAGAGAAGTCTTGAACCACCGATGCTGAAACTCCATTCAAATGGTATGATGTACTGTACATAAAGCCGAACAAGATCTGTATCGTATAACAACAACATCGAAATAAAAACGGGAAATAGTCCATAAATCGCCCTCACTACCCATCATACATACACCCTAGCACGATCCAATCCCACCAATCAGTCCTTCTTCTTCTTCTGAGAAGCCTCCTGCTCCTCCTGACCAAACGAACTGATCAAATCCAGCAGGTTGTCGTCCTCTTCCTCAGCAGCGGCAGCGGCCTCCGCAGCAGCTGCCTCCTTACTTTGTGCCGACTTGTCCGTCGTCTTCGAAGAGTCCTCCAGAGGCGTGTTCACATCCCAGCTGCGACCGAACTTAGCTCTGAAAGCCGCCAATCGACCAGCCTCATCATCCTCGACGCTCTTGAGCTTGCTTGAAGTCGGGTTCCAGAGCAGAGTGTTGCGCGTGTCACGAGTCGAGCGGTAAACGGGAAGAGGAGAAGAGGTACGGTGGGTGAAGGTGCTGCCGTCGGTCAGGGTAATCAGCTGGGTGAATTGGTAAGGGCGTCTAGGACGACGAAGGAGAGTAGCATGTCGGCATTGCGAGCAGATGAAGGTGGTGGAGGTCTGGACACGGGAGGTGGTGGCCGCGGTGCGGCGGAGGGGAGTGCTGAGGGACATGGTTTTTTTCCGCGGCCGGGAGAGAAATTAGGAAGTGAGAGGACGTCCGCGAAGTGATTTAATATACCGGCCTGGGTGGGAGAATTGGACTGGAGACTGCGACGCTGCGGTGATCTTCCAGTCTGTCTCTGGCCAAAGACAAATTATTCGGGGCGGAACGACGGGGATTATGTCAGCATCCCGTGGGTTGCTCTTTTTCTTGTCGCGGTGTTTCAACTCGACTCTGTTTGAACCACCGATTAACGTGCTACGGTCTGGTGGCTAGCATGGTTGCCTATTGAACCGCCGAGGGATTTCTGTCTGCGTCTTCATGATGAATTTGGAGGGCTCCGAGAGTCTTTCTGTTGCTTTCCTCTCCTCTGTTCTTCTGCCCGTCTTTCCGTGAGCTGCGAGCTCCGTCCGCCGCGGGATTATAATGCTTCCTTATTCTAGATCTATACTTGCGGCCTGTCGGACGGTGGGCCAGTTCACAGGTTAGCTGCGCGGTTTTCCATGCCTGCAAATTGCATTTGCTAATCAATTGTTTTCATGTAAAGGGCAATATGTACCATCTATCGGACCAGCTCTCCGGTTCGGTCAACTGCAATCCCGAACGGTCACCAAAGTCGCCGCAGCCGCTAGGAACCCTCAATCTGACTCGAAAGGGGCTCGGCATGCAAATAATGATGTCGCCTCCTTATCCGATCAAGTCCGTCTCTTGATGAGACGAGTCCCTTACCCTGTCGCCATCATCACGGCCACTGATCCCTATGGCCCGGCAGATAAGGCCTTCCGCGGAATGACCGTCTCCTCCTTCAACACCGTTACACTCAGTCCGGAACCCGTCATATCGTTTAACGTGCGCCGGCCCTCCGAGACGCTTAGCGCACTCCAATCGTCCAAGCGCTTCCTTGTGCACCTCCTGGCTCCTCGACAGGCAACCGCTACCCTTGCGCGGGACTTCTCCAAGGGCAACCACAATTTGTCCCTCTTGGAGGGGAAGAGTGAATATGAGTTCGTTGCGCACGAACATTCCCTTTCTGGTAATGAAACTTCCGGCAGGCCTCTTCCGCTGTTGCGGAGGAAGCAGGATGCTACGTCTACAGGATCGGAGGACTTTCCCTTCGTATTGGAGTGTCAGCTCCATCCACAGAGTATACAGGTCCAGGACCATACGATCGTCGTGGGAACTGTTGTTCAGGCACTTTCAGGGGAGTTGTTGAGCCTTGACTCGGAAACTAAGGCTGGAGACCTTTGCCTCACGTACGCCAATACCCACTTCTGGGAAATGGGCCACGAGATATGAAAGACGGCATCCGGAATTCGTGAGACTCAAGCATCTCTCCCCATAAATTATCCAATGCTCTAGATACGGGCCATACACACCATACTGTTAGAGTGAAGGTAGCTTCTCGAGGAGTTACCTCTGTATATTATCCATACCTGATATCCTGGGTTTCGTCGGAATCTCGCCAGCAATATCTCCATTATATGTACATACATTAATTCATCATAGATCTCAGTCTTCATTCTCTCGTATAGCCATGCTAAATGCGGCCACCTTCCCATACCATAGGAACGAAATACCATGGGAACATTGCAAAAACAAAAGTCACCGTAAGTTATGCCTTCCATAAAGGAATGGAGCAAAAAGAAAAAGTACACGACACCTCTGGGACTCGAACCCAGGCGGGCGAACCCACAGGCTAAACAGCTAGTACGGTAAGGTAGTAGCAGGCCTGCGCCTTAACCACTCGGCCAAAGTGTCCAGATCTGATCAACTACTTCCTTGAAGTGACTTGGAGCTGTACGAGCGGAGCGAGCAAACTAATTGTGGATGAACTTGAACTGATCTTCCCCTGGGATGTTCAAGTAAGTGACCGTTATCTAGTAGTTTTCAGAATATATGAATGGCACGTTTTATATCTCCATCTCTCTTGCAAAACGTGTGCGAAGAGCACTGAATAGTTCAGTGGATAATTCCACCTGGTAGGCCGATAACTGCCTATTTATGTGGGTTTGTTGTACTTCAGGAGGAGAGTACCATGGCACATGCATCCCGCATACACTCAACCATCCCTGCTAAGGTCATCATGTACATATATGTGCAGTTAGCTCCAACACATGTGGATATATGCAAGAGGTTAATATAAGCCAAGAGTAACTAGCTACTCCCTTCCAGTGATTGCAGAATCAGTCCCATTCCCACTATCGCTCACGTCATGCACTTATTTACCTTCAGGATAGAGAATCACTACTGAAGATCTCGCCACCATCCAATCAGACACTTTGGCCGAGTGGTTAAGGCGCAGGCCTGCTATTACATTCCTGTATAAGTTAATTAGCCTGTGGGTTCGCCCTCCTGGGTTCGAATCCCAGAGGTGTCGCTTTCTTTTTTGTGTAGAAAAAGTGTCTGCTTTGATAATATGTACCATAAGTTTGTTATCTTTTTTGTCAATAATCTAGAAGGGAGCTGGAAAGTGTTGTTTGTATAGTTTTTGGCATAGCACAGAGTAGCATCTGCCTGCTCTTGGAGCTTACTAAACTCCCACAACCGTTGAACTGATGGCATCTACTGATGCTCTAAGGATGAGCTTTTCATAGCTATATCTGTACAAGTATACTTCCAGATCTATATATAATAGATTTAATACCTGAATGTAGGGTTACATTGCCTTTCATTTGATCATACAAATAACTAGGAAGAGCATCTACCAATCAGACACTTTGGCCGAGTGGTTAAGGCGCAGGCCTGCTACTACCTTACCGTACTAGCTGTTTAGCCTGTGGGTTCGCCCGCCTGGGTTCGAGTCCCAGAGGTGTCGCGTATCTCTTTTTGTGTGGCAAATGTCTGCCTCCTTCGTAGGCTATGTATGCTTATGTGTTATCTTTTTGTTTCTCTTGTAGAAAGGAACTAGATAGAGTGATTGAAGGAAGGGTTGAGAGTACACTTTAAATTCAGCCTAATATGCTTTTGCTATAGAAGGGGTTTTATATAGGTATCCATGGAAGTTGTCTTTCGACTTAATATGTCATAGAGTATGCCCGAAAGGATAGGAGCACTTTGTGTATCATATTGCTATCTAACGAACGAATCTACCAATCGGACACTTTGGCCGAGTGGTTAAGGCGCAGGCCTGCTATTACATTCCTGTATAAGTTAATTAGCCTGTGGGTTCGCCCTCCTGGGTTCGAATCCCAGAGGTGTCGCGTATCTTCTTTTTGCTTTAGACGTCTATCGTCTACTACTGCTTTTTTTTGCGGTTTGAATGATTCAGTGGTGTTCTGCTTACTTGGAGGGTTTCTCCTTATCCTGTCTGTCTGTTCTGACCAGTCGGCGACGGGCTTGAAGGTGCGCTGTGGGACTGTGGGATTTGTCCGGGTCGTTGTCTACCATTCATGTGCGATGATATCTATCATATGACACTTATTGAGTCAAGGACTACGTTGACGCTCAGACATATATATACGGAGCATTCAGAGTGTCTACCGGTGACAACACAACTTAGGCGCTGTTAGATACTAGTTTGAGCAACCGGTGAGTTATGTCATCTACGAATCCATATAAGGAACATCTACACTGGAACCACGACATGTGCAGAAACAGGCTTTTCGGCAAATTATGAATAGGCTCTACATATGACACAAGATTTCTTTGTTCACAGGCGATGGAATACCAAGACGAAAGACGCACGGTGACCATCGAATCGTCTGGGCCAAGGAACCCCGAAGCAGGTAAACCACCATGCAACCTTGAGCATCACGTCTGAAGATGAATACGACCAAGCAGGAATTGGAACCATAACGCAACCGGGAACAAGCCAAATGGAGCTCGTGGGGGGAACCCACAGACTTGTCCCTTCACCTCGCCTAGTTGCCCTTACCACCCGTCGAGCTGGGACTGCCACTTCCACTACCGCTTGCACCGCTACTTCCGCCTCCACTTCCGCTACCACGACTATCGGCCCGCTGGAAAGGGGTGGAAATGGGTCTCATGATCGGGTTTGGAGTCACTCCCTCGGAGCCCGAATCCATCCGCTTCTCAATGACCGTATCAGACAGGTCAAGTTGGAAGGGACCCCGACGATTCGAGTCCAAGAAATCAGCACCGTAGAGACTGCTGTGCGCAGATCGGTTGGAAAAAGACCGGTCACGGTAGGTAAAATCCGTATCGAAGTAGTTGCCGGTATTGCCAAGCGGAGAAGTCGGGAAGTGTTGCAAGTAGGAAGGTGGCTGTGTCGGACTAGTTGGATGAGACGAAGCAGCACCAACAGGGGACGAGGCATGCTGCAGCGGACTAGACTTCAGCGACGGGAAGCTAAGTCCCAGGAGAGATCGAGTGCTGGGCGCAGTCGTTGTCAATGCTCCCAAAGACATGCCAGGTGCCTCAGTCAGAGGGTTTGTGCCAGGCAGGTTACCTTCGGGAGTAAGCGGGGCAGAATCCAAAAGCATCTGCTGTTGCTGCTGCTGGATGGCTTGCTCAATAGCAGCAGCTTGCTGCCACAATTGGTTGGTGCGCACCTGGTATTCCTGTACGGACTGGCTGATGCTCGCAAACTGCTCGTGGAAATTGGCCTCCAACTTCGCCTGGTCCTGCTCCCGAGCGAACTGTTCCGCAGCACGACGCTCTCGCTCATTCAAGCCCTGGGCGTTGGCAGAGACAATCCGCTCGTATTGCTCATTGACCCTGGTACGGCGGCCTTGAAGACGTTCCTTTCTCTGGATGGCCGAGTTCAGCTCCGACTCCAACGACGACACTTCGCGAGCAACAGCGGCCCGAGCAGAAACGAGCTCTTCCTTAGCCAAGTTGAGTTGTTCCAACTCCTGTTCGTACTTGGATTTCTGGGTCGACCATTCTTCGAGTTCTTCCTCAGGAATGTTCTCCAAATTGTCGAGTTGGCTTTCAAGAGCGGCGGTGATTTCCTCGGTTTGCTTAATGTTTCTCTCAAGTTGTAACGAGCGCTGCTTCTGTCGGTTCTCATCGGTACCACTCTGCAGACGATGGTTGTAGTTATCCAGTTCCTTCCTGATTTTGGAGATGACAAGTTTGTGGTCGTTTTTGGCTTTCCTCAACCGGGCGCGTTTCTCATTCAGTTTGACCTCGGCGTTAACGATCGAATTCTTGAGCGTAGTGGTCGGTGATGACGGACGATAAGACGGTTGCGGAGGAGTTGGGATCGAAGAGACTGCTGGTGGCCAATGTGAGCCAACTGTTTCGAATGAACCGAAGGCCAAACGAGGTATTCCCTTACCTTGTTCCGCGTCAGTTGCAGCAGGTGTCTTGACGCTCATGACACAGATCTCTTCATCAGTATCGCTCCGCACGAAGGAGCAAGTGTAGGCACAGTTAGGAGCAAGTCCCGAGACCTCGCCCCGCCAGTGTACCGTGTTGGACCCCTTCGGAGCATCCTGCACCTTGGTAATCGTTGCCGTTGCCCACAAGGCGCCGTTAACACAGACGTAGAAAGGTTCCGTTTCGTCATTTCCCAGACGAGCAGTTTCACAGACTCCGGCAAGCGCGGGATCATCGACGGAGGAAAAGTCACCCGCGGCAAATTTGATAGTAGAGCTATCGACTTCGGTTATCCAAACAAGTCCATCATCCAACGAAATGCCCTGAAGATCCTCCTCTGTCATCATAAGCCCCCTGCCGGTTTTGTTGAGGGCCCTAGAATGCTCGTATTCCCTCATCACCGTCACCTTCGTGCTCGCGAGTGCAGCCCAGAACGGTTGACGGCTCCGGACCTGATTGGCTTGCCTTCTGCGTTTCTTTGCCGACATGAGTCTATCTCTGCCATCCTTATGAGTTGCTGGCGTAACGAGTTGACCGTCGGCACCGATGTAGGAAGATACGCTAGCCCCGGACTCGAACGCAGAATCAATTTGTGTCTGCGACCCGGCAGAGGCTTCGGTATCAACGCGCTTGCCGTTGCGAGGGGGAGCCGGTGACCGGTTTTTCGCCATCGATCTTCTTGCCATAGCGGTGCCTGCTTGAGCCAAGATGTGAACGGCAAGGAGACTGCGCATCCAACTTGGGGAGCTTTGCGGTTCCGTGCGGCGAAACTCGGGGGGCATGAGATGCGAATATTGCGATAAGAAATCAGGCGAGACGATTTTGGCGGAGAGCAGATGACCTATAACAAAATCCTGTATACCTTTACTGCGGATAAGATGTAATACGAGAACAATGCCAACGCAGAGGGCATTGACCCCTCCATTCTTTCCCGACCCTCCTCCACCTAGCGTGATGGCAACTTGAACGTGAGCTAGATCGAGCGCAAAGTTCTGCGCCCATGTCCACATGAAAAGGCCCCAGAAGAGTAAGCAGAATCCATCCATGGCGATCATTGTGCCAAGAGAAGGCGTTCCGGCGGGACCCTGAAAGATGTCGAAATTGGAGGTCAAGGAGCCAGACGATGCACCGCTAGGAGGCATGAACGTCAAGGAAGCAAAGAGGAACTGAACCAGAGTGAGAACCATAGGCGGCAGCTGCAAAAGGAAGATCAGAATGGCGATCGTGTCGTACATCGGGCAGGACTTGAGGATCGTCGATGCGAGCTGGAGGGGATTGATAGAGCCCGACTTCTTGGAACCGGTCGCCGGCTTCTCCGTTCGCCGCGACGCCTGCCCGGCAAGTCCGCCATTCTGGGGCACGGCGCCATTCGTCTGGCCATAAGACATGTCCGCGTTACCCTTAGCATACCCATTCAGCAAGCCGCGCCCGTTGCCATCCGCCTTCGAGGTGTCCGCCGAGCCGTTGACCTTGCTTGCCGTGGTTGCCGATGAGGTTAAGGCTGAATCGCTGGAAGAGCGAGATGCGGGCCAGTCGACTTGAGTGGAGGGACCAGAATTCGGGGCAGAGGCGCCGTTGGTGTTCCCATTCAAATTTCCATTGGACTTTTGCTTGTTCACTTTCTTTCCGGGACCGACGAGACCATTCTCATGCCGATTGCTATGACTCTTCCTAGCCGTGGCCGATGAACGTGGCATGGACGAGGGAGCCTAACACCCAGGTCCGAGTCAGCTTGGCAGGGAGGAGCCAAGGACTTGGACCAGGCGATAATTGAGGACGAAGACAGCGTCGGGGAAATAGAAGAGTTGGGGGGGGAGGAGAGGGGAGAAGAAGGGGTGGTGAGAGTGGGAAAGGAAAGGGAGGGGAGGTAGCACCCAGGAAGCGAACGGGAAAAGGAATGACAAGAGGGGATAGAAAGTCGGTAGAGGTAAGGACTAGGTTGAGAAAAGGAAAGTCAGAATGAATCGGATTGGATATGGGAGAGGGTGAGTAAGAGAGGGTGGCGGGGAGGGGAGTGGGAGGAAAGAGAAGGGAAAAATGAATGAGGTTTGGTAGACTTTTGGGTCTGGATAGACGAGGCGGGAAAAAGACGAAACGACGAAAGGTTGGAAACGGATCGTCGAGAGGGAATCCCGCTAAGGCAGCAAGGCGGCCAACCTCCAGCCAATCCGGCTGTGTGTGCCTCAGGCATTCTATAAAATACCCCTTTCCTGTCACGGTACCATACATACCATGTCAGATACAGGCGGTTCCTTACTGACATTTATCATACGGTACATGACGTACCCTTCACTGCGCTGTCTTCCGGTTGGCTGGTTGGCTACCCAGATACCCTTTCGCTCGACCGATTTTTGGGGCGATCTGGAGGTTGAGACCAGCCACGGAGATCGTGGATGCTAAAGGGACCAATTGGACCTCTTCTCTAGGTGGAAAGGTTGAAGTTGCTTGGATTCTCAAATCACCGTGTCCATGAAAACAGGACTATTACGGGCATAAATTGACACCTGGCTCTTCAGCCACATCATTCAAGAGTAAGCTTGCTTCCTGGCACCGACACCGGCTCGAGGCATTGATATGGGGGCCAATATCAGCCACTAGTTGCTTCCGAACAGCTAGTATTCCTTTCTTCGACACACAGGCTGCTGGGATCTAAGCCTCCTGTCAGCGTAAGGCAACTTACGCCCGTCTTCATGTAGTTAGTGCTGGTCTTTCCCTTGACACGCTCACAAGCAACAAAAGCAAATCTTCACTTGACTTTCCCAACAGATCAATGGAGTAAACTATGTCAACCAATCTGCCCATGTAGGCTAGCTGTAATACCCCATCGCCTAGCAACAATCCGATCATCTACAATACAGCCCTTAAGTTTCCGGCTCTAAAGCACTTATGGACTGATGGTTGCTGAACGCCGGCCTCGTAAGCCGGGGGTGGACTACGTGTTCATTTTGACCTTACCCTCCTAATGCAGCCATCATTCATAGGCTCGCAGAAATCAGCGCCATTTAATGTCCGTTTACCCCTCCTTCTCACGCACTCACCCTACATATCACGTCTTACCCGCTAACCACTGACAAGACCCGGGGTTGTGCTTTATCGGGTAATCCAGGACTTTAGGGCCCAAACTAGACAGGACGATCTGGCGATCCCATCCTTCATGGGATGGGTTTTTGTTGTCCGCGTGGGTGATTCCCTGGACAGAGCTGTGCAAACTCACCATGGTCAACATCATCATCATCATCAACAACAACTCATTGGCAGCTACTAGGCTGTAGATAGTCATATGTGCCGTCTATATTGCATAATTCGGGGTGGTTATCTTCTTTCTGTCAGGTGGATTGCGTAGATTTCAAAGTGAGCATATGAAGAAGCCCATATGTCTTCTGGCTCGTGACTTGCAAGTCAAGATAAGCATATCCTGCCCAGCTCTCTAGTCATATGGGGTGCCCGTTGGACTTGTCAGTTGACACTTGCGTGGGAGGTTGTACAGCCGATAGATGATGCTCGTAATGCTTATACCTGCCAAGTCCGAAACAGCACGCTGTAAGGAGACCCATTGTCATACCAGTGGTTCCCCGCTCAAAGGAGATTAAAGGGATCGAAATTCCAATTCACGAGACCTGAAGAAAGAAGCAAGTTGACACCGACAATCTGGGTGATTGCCCATCTCCATCGGAATATTGTCGAAGACTGACGACGACATCTTGTGGTTAAGGCAGTGAGTATGAGATTAGATAAGCTCCAATACGTAGCTGTTGCCCAACTATATATAGGAAATACTGTATCATACCAAACAGCGGTAATTCACCGAAAGATCTCCACACTAGCAAAATCATCACACTTCTCTCCTACTCTGTCCCGTAGGGACGTTTGATGCTCTCAAGTACCACTGCTCAGGCAATTTGCCTAGAATCACAGGCTAATTGGAATGTTCGTCATATGCTGGTTATCAGGCTGGCTGCAGCTTGATAGGCAAGTATCCTAACCTGAATGCCGTTTTCACGGACAGAGATCGACTAGCCTTGGAATCGGATGGATGATCGACCGTTTCTACCCTAAAGTGGACAGACGCGTTGACTAAATTGAAGGGTTTGCCGGTCGAGCCCCGCAAGCCTTGTCAGATGATTACCAGGGATATCCCGTCCATTTGTCGTGTCGTTGTGGCTGTAACACAGGGTATTGGACCCTTGATTGCTAGTAGTATTACAGTGTGAGACAAGATGTAGATACACTTGTGTCTTTCATAGGTGAGTGTTTTTTGCCTGTCGTGAGCCTCATCACCCAAGACCGGCGTCAAAGCTTGGAAAACCAAGCAATTAGCTGGGACACTGGAACTGATACCGATCCGGGAAAGCTTCCGATCAGAGGCACTAGGCGGGAGGGTCTAGAAGAGACTCTGTGGCGCAAATGGAGCGGGTCAAGCCGTGACGAACCAACAAATTGTAATCGGATTCCACGGCAACCATGATCCTGTATCACTGCACCAACTATGTGTGTAACTTCTCGAGATGGCTAGAGAAGCTATTTATTCATTCGTATGCTTGTAGCCCGAGGATTTAGAGCATTCAAGCGTTGTGCCTGAGTACCAGTTTTCATTGTAAAAAGAGCTCGGCCAAGCATCACATGGCGGTTGTGGACCTGAGCTTCGGCCTCAAGTGCAAAGTAGTTTTCAGCTGCCGACAACCGAGCCGAGTCAACCGGGCTCTTCAATCGACAGACCAATTCTTGAAACATCAATGCTACACCTTCATAGAAAATCCAGGATTGACCGATTTGTAGACAAATGCAAAACTTTCTCGCAGTCAACGTAAGTTGCGCTAGGGCTGTTCCCTATGGTTGATGAAGCTAGATAGGATGGCCAATGCACGAGCTGAGAGGTGTACCGGCAGATATCCTCTCCAGGCAAATGAACAGCAGCATGAAGAGATTTGGCGTCAGTATTATTGCTTCATGAGTCGCAAGCAGGCTTGGGTCAACCCGAATGGCCATGTTCTCGCTGTGCTCTATCGTCTTGCAGAGACCATGTTGAATATAGGCCTCTCAAGATGTGTTCTTCTGTCTTGGCTACTTGAGCCGAGGTCTATGCCACTATTGACCATACTGAAGTATAATGAGCAATTGACGGCGTCGCCTTGATTCAGCCCATAATCTGACATGAAGCTGGACGATGCAGTTGGAGGGGATGTTATAGCAAGAATAATGATAAGCAAAATCATGAGGACAGCACGTCCACCGTGCTCAGAATAACCTAGACTATTTGCATTGTGTTTGGATCTTGATCGTCGTAGTCTTCTCCTGGGACAGGTAGTGGCGTTAATTGACCTCATTCCAGATGTCTAGAGAGACAAAGTGCCAATTTAAAGAGTGTGGGGTGAGACGGGAGGTGATGAGGAGGTCTCAAGTTATATCAGATCAAAAATATAAAAGTAAGGATATACAAAGAGCATTATATCCAATATGCGATACAAAAGCTCCTCATCAGCACTTTACTCAAAGTTTGAAGTGATGGATTACAGCTAGTATCATTACACATACAGTATGCCGTTTAGACCAGGTATATTACCAGTAAGCTTCCATTCGTTACAGCAGCCCTGTGCTTACAGTACACACTTGGTAGCAGAATCTATGCCAGTGCCCTACGCTCGATCCTCCTCATTTACTATGTACATTGTCGATCTTAGATCTGTCGGTCTGCAAAGTTGCCCCAAAGCGGGAAACCAGCCTGCTCCATCACTGCTTCGCAGATCCGGTATCCTCGACCGCATCTTCCCGGTCCCAGCTCTCTGTTTCCAATGTGCGGACCCTTGTTTCTATATCAAGGATGCGCTCCTGCCAGTATTTCTTGGCTTGCTCTTGAAGATCCCAGGTGGATTTGAACTGTTCCATGACAAACGGCGGAAGCTCCGCCTTCTTGATTGCCTTGTAGTCATACATGACCAGGTCCTCGGAAACACGGGCAGCGGGCCGTTGGCGAGCCTCGGAGACTATCATCGCATGTAGATAGAACCCATGACGAGGTGCATCAGGGGATGTCGGATCGTGAACCAGCTTATGATATACCGTAACTTTATCGGGGTAAGTCATAGGCTGCAAAGAGAGATGAGGTATTAGCGATCAGTCCTATATCTCAGCTGAGATGACCGTACAAATTTGTAGTCGATTGTGATACTTCGAAGAATAAGTCCGATGCCCTTAGAGCTGACAAGGTTCAACCACTCTGTCTTATGGGCCGGGTCTATATGCATGGCAAAGTTGCGGGTATAGTACACGCGCGCCGTCTCTGCATATCGGGGGTATGTGACGTTGTTCACATGTCCTAATTAGACGCTCATGAATGTTAGACCCCTTGCAACAATCCAGTGCTCTGATGCTGCTTAGAAAGAGATATACACACCCTAGACTCATGAGTTAGTCGACATCACTTTTTGCTTGAAAGTTCCTGACTTACCATGCTGTCCTGTTTGATGCAAGCGCCTACATTAGCATCTATGCATCATGCTATATGTAAGCTGCCATGCACCAGGTGACTATTGATCATACCATCTCTCCCCACGCGACGCTTTGTTGAAATAGCCCCCTTCGGGTCTCATCTGTCAAATAGCCTTCGCTGCCAGCGATCAATTCTCGCCAGTCCCTTGCAATTTGCTGTAGGATTTCCCCTGCCTCTTGAATCTGCGGGGGTTTCAAGCCGAACATCATACATCTACCGATTCTTCGCTTGGTCAGGGTCAGCCATCGCGGATCAATGGTGTGAGGCTTCCTTGGTGTTGTTCCGGGGGAAACGGGGGCATTTCGGAAAGCGGTTGAGACGGAGAAGAGTCGAGTGGTAAGTGGTGGATATTGAGTGGCAACCCCAGCCAGTGGTCGCCTTCCAAGTCTCTGAAGCGACAACATCATTCTTCGGAAATAGGTGAAGATAGTGATTGTCAATTGTCAGGATGTTGTTGTTTCCCGCCGAGGAGCTTCTCACTTCGGCTAGTTGTCCGGGCGGTTGGAGCTTCGGCTAGCCCCGCGCATTGCTTCACTCTCTCCGCGCGCTGACATGGCCGGTTGCTTGCTTATTTATTACCCCTAATGCCTGCCTTGTACGACGAGCCCTATGGTCAAACTGATACTTTATCTGTGATAGTCTATCTAGATGCTTAGTTCGCATTTATATAAGGCATTGCTGTTTACCATCTACGCTAGCTGTTTCAGCTCCGGGCCATGGATGGGATGAAGCTAGTAGAACGAGTTCGTCTGACTTCCATCAATATGACCGCTCAGCAACTTATGATTTCACAATTGAATAGATATCATTCAGTAATTCATGCGCCTTCCTGGTAGCCAACATAACTAAAAAGTTGCAGTCGATTTCGATATGTTATACTACAACGTCATCATCTTATAACATGAGATCTCGGGTAATCATCTAAGACACTCGGATATATCTCCACCCGTTACAATCATCAGAGGTAACCACAAAGGGTTCAAAAGACATCTTGAAACTTCAATTCTCTTTTAGAAATCATCCAATGAAAATCATACATACAATCCTGGCATCATAAAGCCCTGGCCTATACACCAGCCAGCACAGAAGTGTTTACCTGGACGGTTACCCCTCCGAGGCAACAAGTAAGGATTCCGCCCGTGCGACGTCACCGGTAGTTGTGTTCCGGCTAACTTCTTCCTCGAGCTGAGAGACAAACAACTTACTTCCTCCACATTCCCACCTCCTCCGGAGAGTCCTGGCCACTATCTCATTGCCTAGCAACACCATCCACTATGACGAATCCAGAACTTCGTGCGCAGGTCATACATATATACAAGGGTATGTGCGTCACCAGGACTTCACAATTCCCCCAGTCATTCCTTTCCAGTGTCGAGTGTCTCCCACCAAAAAGCTGACTTCTGTCATCGGTAGAGTTGCTTTTCCTTGGTCGCAACTATCCACTAGGTTATGAATATTACCGGAACAGGTTACATAAAGCGTTTTCGAGCCAGGCACATCTGGATAATGAGGAACAGATCCGGAAAGGTATTGCTAGGGCGGAATTTGTTAAGAAGGGTATGTTTGACGATACTCTCCATTTAATTGTCAAAAAGTCAGATTGATCTGATAATCAGGTGCATTCTACAGAAATCGAAGCATTGTGAGTTCCCATGCGCCTTCTCTCCCTTACCCAAATCACGCCGGCACCAGACAAGTCCTTGTCTACAGACGGCGAAGCATGCGAAAGTCCAAGGCCCAGGCCTGCAAGGCTTGATACTGGTTCATCTATATTAATTCTGCCTATCAACCATGTACATCCGAATACTCATCGTCTCATAATTATCGAGATAATGCATGCTCGACAATGTCAGCGCCAATGCTGACCGAAAGCGCCCAGGTACTATCTGAAGCGATATCGCACCTTGAAACAGCGCTATGAAAATTAAAATGATCCCGGCCGTTCAGAATACCATGGAACCTTAATAACACGTTCTCAAGAATATTACACCAAGGAATATATATATGCGAAAACTGAAAGGAGAAAAGTGGGGTATCACCAATATGAGAGAGAGAGAGCAATGGTCACGACTCTTTCCGTGTCTTTTTTTCTTTTCTTTCCCGCGTTCACCAGATTACCGGCAATCGAGCTTGTATCCTCTTCGCCGAAAGACCGTTCATTTCTTTCGTCCCCACCAAGCGCTTACTTCCAAGCACTCCCCATTCGCGAGGCTTCCCTTTTGGAACAGATCGGCAATCATGGCAGCCCACCACCTGTCCCATTCATCTCTGGTCTTACCGCTAGCTTCCATGAGGATATGCTCCATGCCCTCAATCATCTGAACTACGGTCAAAAGGGCCGTGCGCCGAATAGACAATTGATCTGCGGTCAACTGTCTGCGTGACGCGCCGACCGGATCCTTCCCATGACCTTCACGCTCCCACCGTAGTTCGCCTAGCGGGATAGCAATGCGGCGACTATCGACGTTCTCTAGTACGTCGACCTCTGAGTTGAAAGACAAACCAATTGTCGCACACGGCAACGCTGTCAATTTGCGTCGGTCAAAGGCCTTTTCGACCCAGGAGTTATAGTCTTGCAGAAACTTGTTCTGGACTCGTGTGAATGGGGTTGCGGAGGAAAAGGTGTAAGTCGCGGTCGCATCGGCCGTCTCTTGTTCCCTTGAAGCCAATTTGCGAGCGGGTGCAGGGTTGGGAAGCAAGGACCGAAATACCCAATCCGAGTCCCAAATTTCCAGAATCCCGCCGGATTTGAGCACCCTCAGTGGCTCGCTTAAGCCGGACGCTTGCAGCGCCGGGCTAGCTGGACACATTCCTGCGTCCTTAATGAAGACAAAGTCGAAATAGTCGTCGGGGAAAGGTAGGCGGGGCTTCCGAAGGTCGTGCCTGCGATATTGCCAATGGACACCTTTCTTGCGCAGATCGGGGGCGACAGAGACGATGTCAATACCGTGGAAAGACACGTTACGGTGACCGCGACGAGCGAAATATTCATGGCTCATACTGGACCAAAGGCCTGAACCACATGCGATCTCCAGAACCCGCTTTGGGGGCCGGTCAGTGAGGTGGGGATTGCAGAACGGACCTCCGAACACGCGCATGAGCATGAGCGAGCGCAGGGTTTGACGATGAATCTCCTGAAGATCGCAGGGGAGAGGGTAGTTATTCTCGGGGTCTCTAAGATATGTGCGATCGCCCTGGCGAATCAGGGGAAAGTTGGAGTAGTCATTGAGGGAGGTTAGGGAAGAGGTAGATGTCGCAGCGAGGGTTGGGCCGGTCGAGCTGGTAGTCGAATGAAGATCGGAGCCTGAAGTTGCGGCAGGCGCAAAAGTCGCAGGCCCGTTTGACATCATATCCATTTTGGCAGCGAAGATTGGGTTGTCATCGATCTGGTACAGCTAGCAACAACGATTTGCATGCTTGCATACGACAATGGCGACGCAGATCGATCACGGACGGGGAAGAGACGCGATTATTATGGACATGGTAATGTAATCGAGAGGAAAAGAGCGTAGGAGGCGACGTGAAACAAGCGCTAGTCGGAGGGGGCGGGGAGGAGGGAAGCGAAAGTGAGGCAATCCGGATACAGTTCCAGGTGGCCTCGACCCATGGGAAGCGAGAACGGGGAGGAGAAGAAGAAGAAGAGGAAGAGGAAGGGGAATAATAATTATGAGTGAGAGGAGAGACGGAGAGGACGATGGAGGGGGGCAAAAACCACATCGTGACCGAAAACGAAATCGCCCCGGCTCGATTAAATGAACCCCCCTTAGGGCCACTCCACTATGACTGCGAAATCCATCTGGCGGGATTCCGGACGGCGACCCCCCCGAACTAAGTGATTTCACATCCTTCGTTTTGGGTAGTTTTGCTCCGTAGATACAACAATACCTACAACGACTAAACAGTTACTTCTAATTACGATCTTGGATTTGATTTTTGCTGTACCAAAATCTTCGGTGCTCGGTACAAATTGTCTCTACCGAAAGACTCCGGACGATGGAGCTGAACGAATGCGCCCACTTGGTGGTGGCGGAAAAGCTCCCACCACCAGAGCAGCAAAGCATACATAACGGAGTACTCCTCAAACCAAACACAAATACTAACCAACCCGCCTGCATAAGCCCTGCTGATCTGATACCAATGACTGCTGATTTCTCCTGCAGCTGCATCCAAGATCAACAGCCCGAGCTACGGGTTATTGGCTCGATTATTTGCGTTCGCTGCGACGCCCGGGTGCCATCTGATCTCTCTTATGCAGAATCAGAATCAGTACATTTGGAGAGGCTACCGAGCGAAGGTTGAGCTGAATCCGTATTCCAGATCCGTTTTCGAGTGGTCTCGGCTATCTGTGAACCGCCCAAAACTGGGCCCCTTGTCTGGAACTGAAAAAGTTCAATGGTCCAAACAAGAATCAAGGCTGCAGCGAAAGAAGTGCCATCCGTGGTTCTCGTTGCAATCCAAATTCCGGCCGGCTGGAGCTGCTAACAAAAAGAAAGGACTGACAACGATAATCGGAGTAATATGATGAAACTGGGCACGTCCACTGCGAGAGTACCCTGCTTCATCCCTTACCCAAGTTCACGGGTCACCCACTCAAGTTCTGACGCCCGAATCCACAGGCCAGCCCACATAGAGCCCTGTCCGGACATGCCGACAACCCACGGAAGAACCGCGGCAGATGCTGATGAGCTTCCTAGATGGGTCATTGCAAGTCTCCTGATGACACAAGGCAGAAAAATTGCCTTTTTGACGGAATCCGTCCGTTAGACTAAGGGGCGGGAGAAGGAAGCAGTTGTTGATCAAGAAAAGTCAAAACAGATATTAACATATTGATTTATTAATCTGAAGGAAATCTTTCTTTTTCTTTTCCCCCCTCCCCTTAGGGAGACGGAAAGAAAGATTCTACGTCCCGTCTAGCCTAATCTCAGGCTTTCTCTTACAGTCGACTAGTGACTGACTCCTTGACATCATGATTGTTTTGGCGTTAGCGACTAAATAATTATAACAATATTAGTTAACGAACAAATTTGGATAGCCGTGTGGGACTGAAGAATCCTAGCAATGATTTGGAGTAACGATGGCGCTGCCGACGCGACCACTCAATCCTTGACTTGCCATCCAGACCAACCCAATCTACTCTAATCCGATGGATCTCGGAGCAAGAACAATAAACGGGTAAATTACATCGTAACAGATTTGTTAACGAAGGCCAGATCCTGTTCCATCAAACCAGGATTAAATCCCTTGACCAAGCATCTGTTGGCTGGAATAATTCTACCCTTCCACACTTGACAGGCATGGAGGAAGGGGAATTGCATACGTGAACCACCAACCAGGAGACTTAGGACAGATAACTGTTTACTTAGTTACTGCCTACAATGGAGAATGAATAATAATCCAATTGTTGGTTGGATTCTGGCCGCCGCCGCAACGCTCCGCCGCCCACCCAGGATGATTATGCATGCCGGGGCCACTTTCGGTCTGAAAAGACACGTGCAGGCACGGGTCACTTGTTGCCCTGTCAGGGATTTGCTTCTTAATACTATCCATCTTACTAGTAGTACTCCGTAGTAGTAAGTAGACTAGTTAGGCATTCTTCCCGAGTTCAGGTCTGTCTGGGCTTTTTTCGGTGGTCCTTCTGGTGGTTTTCTTTCTAGGCGCCAATTTCTCTTCCCTCCCCCCCCCTTTCTTTCCCCTTTTGTCGATGACTGTTACGGATTGATTTCTATGTTGTTGTGGTGCTGTCAGCTTATGGATTGTCATATCTGCAACTATTAGGGTGTCAGATTCTGTAACATCAGTTTTTTCATTCCTCCAGTCGGAGGTTTCTGATGTTGAGCTGTTTCGGGGTGTTGTTGGGTTTGAGACTGCCTATGGCTGTCAGCAATGGTAGTGATGATGATGTGATTTTCTCTGGAAGTCTATCCCCTGCTGCCTTGTACACATGCTTCAGTATTCGTCCATGCTGTTGTACTACCTTCGGGAAACTTAACAATGTGTGACAGTTTCAATTTAGTGCATGCTGTTTCTCACACTGCATTCATACCTCATAAGCATAGTTATCCGATGAATGGAAAATGATGTTAGAAACCCCCGACTTACCATAACTAGTCCCTTTGTAAGCAATTAAGTTCTACCAACTATGTGACTACTACTTTGCTAAAACCCTCACATGATCCCATGACCGAAGGTGACGATCAGATGTTAGCTCGCATAGCAGCGCAACTAAATCGACTTAAATGCGATTATACGAATTAGTAAAATAGGCTAGACGAGACTACTATTAAAGTATATCGAATCAATGCTATGTCTATAGATACTAGTTATCGTAACCTCCCGAGCTAACGTTGATCACAAACCAAGCTGCTCTGCTTTTAGCGAATATCTAGCAGAGGTGCTGAGTAAAAATTGTAGAGTCTAGTTCTTGGCATGCGGAGGCCAAGCAATGATGATTAAACTGAGATCTTACTATCATTATTCTGCTCGGGCTCAATCGCTTGCTTATGGTGAGTGAGACTGCATAATATTGTGATATTACGGGAGATCGACCTGCTCTGGACATACTTCCTATGCATTCGAAACATAGCAAGGGGTGAGTAGGTATCCATTGGCTCCCAGATTGATGCCATAGGCATTCGCCCGGAGAACGAGTCCGGTGTGCAGGTATGTGGCAGGTGCTTGTGGCATGTTTCTATGCATTCCTGCACCTGGGGTCCGGCAAGGGGAGGGTTTGTTTGCAACGGTTAGATACTCCTGTCATTATTGACAGATAGGCCCTGCACAACAGTCGAATATGATGGTAGTCGAACGCGGGACTATTTTCCCTTATAAGTCGCGTCTGAGATGAATTCCGCATTACCCCCAAGTAGGGGATTTGCTGAAGCTGTGATGGCTGGCTATAAAATGTACAAGTGGCAAGTTGTGTATGAATTAACTTCCAGTGACACATATCTACCCGTTCTTCGATGCCAAGCGTCCATTGGCAGAAAGCAGGCAACGTTGGATTTTCTTAGGTAGTAAATGCTCAGAGCACGTCCTGATTGCTGAGACACTGCTTGGCCGGGGCTATACGAGGATCATTACCCACCAAGATACCTTAATTATCCCACGACCTCGTATTTTTCACGTGAGACATTTACATTTGGCATCATTTTGGGTTTGCAAGGGGATGGGTGCTCGTTTACCAGGGGTTCTGTGCTACAAAGGAGTAAAAAGAACGCTTTAGACAGTTCTGGAAACATGGGCCCCTTTCGCGCCAAACCAAAGGTTAGCTGAAATGTGTCCAGAGTTAGTTGGTACCTTGCTCGATTAGTGCCAAGTGGTCAGTGACCGAAAACAATAAAGGGGTGGTATATAGCATAATAGTAACATATAGCCCTCCTGACTACTCCGCAATATTTCTTGCATTGCGTATCGGAACCAACCGAGCGAGGGAGCCACTGTGGTGTCAGTGCAAGGAATTGTGGCCTTGATATGGGCTCCGTCATAGGGTAACGGGAGTGTGTTGGCACAGGCGATATGGGCAGTTTAATATAGATAAGATAGTGAGCCAGGTCCCTCCATGGCCAGTGGAAGCCTTTGTAGTATGAAATGGCAGGGAAAATCGTGATATTAAAAGTAAAGAGCAAATGCTGTCTTAGTCGGATATGCTTCATGCAAAAGGCAAGATGTAGCATATCTTCGATACTTCTGAATGCGTGTGGGCTGTGACTGCTGAGGGACCTCCTTACTTGTGCAGTGACCCCGCGGATCGCCTAGTCCCCTCAATAATTGGGAATATGGGGCAGTGAAGGACCGATGCTGAGATCTTGTCCGGTTGCCGTTCTGCTGGGAGATGTTAAGAAGGTAGCGATATTCAAGTGACGAATAAATGTTGCATAGATAATCTGAAAAGTCTCTGCGCCTATTGACTTCCAAAGCATCCTCTGCTCGCAGGGAGATATCCTTGTTAAGAGAAGAAGACCCAGGTCTGGAGGTGTGCTTGTCAAGGCTGGTCTTGGCTTTGCCATTGGCGGCGAATCACGCCCGCCGGATGTGACATCACGTGACACCGGCGACCTCCCGCCTTCGATGCAAACCACTTCGCAGCGTCAAGGCGACTGTGTCTCATCCCAACAAGCTGCCGGCGCCTTTGCTACGTCTTCAGACCTATTTTCAAGTGCGCATTGTCCACTCTCCTCCAGCGAGCTTGTCTCTGGGAGTTCAACCTGACCTTGATCCCAGGATTCTCAACAGACTTTCGTCGTCCGTCCTCTTGTGTCTCGGTCGCCCGACGCCCGCCGTATCGTTCGACTCTCGATCGCTCTCCCGATCTCCACCTCCCCAGGACTGCATCTCGAAACCGTGAGCAACCAGCATTGGCAAAATTGCTGCGGTTGTGATTCCAGCGTATCCTTAGATTGGGGTGGTTCCGCTTCAGGACCCCATGTTGAAGAGAAGGAGAGAACGCATCCGATCCCCGACTCCTCTCTCTCCTGCCACCGCCGCCTCCCCGAGCCCAACCCTGCCAGCCTCAACCTACCCTAGGAACATTCAACCAATCGACCTACGGTCTCGTCTGCCACGTTAAATGGCAGATGGTACCTACAGGTTCCAGCAGCCTGGGGCCGGGCAGTTCTTCTTCCAAACACAAACGCAACAGCACTCTCACCAACGTCATCTCGTACGCAACGGGACCAACTCCCCCACTGGAAGACTAAAATTTAGTCACGACACTCCTTCTCCCTCACGCTCACCTCCGATCAGCCAAGCTGCTGCCTTGAATCCCTTCACAATGTACACACAAACCCACCAAGGGCAGCATGTCATGATGAATGGCGGCCAGGCCCACCAGCGATTTGGCATGCAGATCCCCAAGTTCCAATCGCAGAGCCATCATCCCCACCCCGCACAGCAGGCCCATCACCATGCCCATCACAACCAAGCCTCTCATAGCATCAATCACCAGCACAACTTCTCCAGTGGGGCATTGGCTGCCGCTACTCCGCACTTCACTCCCGGCCCCCTCCAAAATGGCGCTCATGTTAATGTGGACGAAGATATTGACGAGACCATGAACGAACATTGGCAGCAGCAACTCCAGTTGGCTGCAGAGTCACGGCAGGCGAGCTCCCCGCATTATTACGCCCGTACCGTCGCACAGCAAACCAAGGGCATCCAGATTGCGCCCAGCCAGCCTGAGTCACAAGAGAACGGGAGCGGCGATCGCAATGGCCTGGTGAAGTCCAAGCCTGCTCCTCGGCAAGGTTGGCATGCTCTTGATTTCGGCGGACAGGGTCTCCGCGCGCTTGCGACATCTTTGTTCCACTATACCTTCCTAGAGAAATTGTACCTCAACCACAACAAGTTGAAGACGCTTCCTCCGGCAATTGGTCAACTGCGGAAGCTCACCCACTTGGATTTGTCGAGCAATGATATTTCGGAGCTCCCTGAAGAGATCGGTATGCTCACAAGCTTGAAGCAGCTGCTTCTCTTCGATAACAACATTCGCACGCTTCCGTTCGAAATGGGTTATCTGTATAGATTAGAGATGCTGGGAATCGAAGGGAATCCTTTGAACGATGTTCTGAAGTCTCAGATCATTAAGGAAGGAACCAAGGCCCTAGTCCGGTATTTGAGGGAAGAAATGCCAGGTTTGTACTCACGACTTAAAGCTCTCACCATGCACTTCAGACTAACTTTGTCTCCAAAAAGTTCATCTTCCTCCCCCGGATAGAGATTGGATCATCCTGGACGAGACCGCTAGCTCCTCCAACAGTCCCACCGAGAAGATTACCGTCCTTTCCCACAATGCCCTCTGCGACTCTTCCGCAACCCCGAGTCACTTCGGTTATACCCCGTCCCGTGTTCTTTCTTGGGAGTTCAGACGCGAGCTTATCCTGAGCGAG